GCTAAAATTATGATAACTGCACAAGAAGCTGTTAGAAATAAACACAAGAAATCTCAGACGGGAAATCACAATTTGAAACAGGCAAGGGAATGAAAGGGAAGGCGGAACCAAGAGGCACCACTGGCTAGGGAAATCACAAGGGAATGTTTTCATAGGGAATGTTTTCATTGTGGGAAGGGGGGGCATTATAAACAAGAATGCCCCCAGAGAATACGGGACCTGTTGGTGTTTGAAGTAACCCAACAGGATGAGGGTGGTAATCACTAGGGGTGTCAGGGACTCTACCTCCTGGGGGATATACCAACAGAAGAGCCCTTGATAAATTTGAAATTAAGACCCCAGGAGGAAGATTATGTAAAAGATACAACTTGGGCTGTAGGGGCTAAAGGTGAAGGGGTTTTTGGTCCCAGTTATAAAGAATGTGTTAATACAAGGGGAAGATCAATATGCTGTTAATGATTTGTTGTTAATGCCAGGGGTAGGATGTAATTTGCTAGGTAGAGATTTACAAGTGCAATTAGGAATAGGTGTGGTGCTGGGTGAAGGAAAACTAGTGGTTAAATTACTAGAATTATGGGAGGAGAATCAGGGAGGATATTTAGGAACCAGAGCATAACTGTTTGGATTTTATAAATTATCAAACGAAAATAAGAGAAGATCTGTTAAATAAACCTTTGCCCTATAGAGAAAAACTATTTATTGATGGGTCCTCTCGATGCCTAGAAGGAAAAATATTGGGTTATGTAATTATCGAGAGGCAGAAGATGGAAGTGTTTGAAAAGGGGAAATTACCTGCTGGGTGGTCAGCACAAGTCTGTGAACTCTATGCCCTAAAACAGACATTGGTATATTGAGAGATAAGGAAGGGACAGTGTACACAGACTCAAAGTATGCATTTGGAGTGGTCCACACATTTGGAAAAATATGGGAAGAAAGAGGGCTTATAAATACAAAAGGGAATGAGCTAGTACACGAGCGGCTGATCAGAGAAGTTTTAGAAGCCCTGAAGCTCCCCACAGAAATTGCAATTGTGCATGTGAAAGGACATCAGAGGGGAGCATCAATGGAAATAAGGGGGAATAATTTAGCAGATTAAGTAGCCAGAGAAGCAGCTACAGAATCATCATTGGTAGTTTTATTGGTAATAATACCAGGGGATTATGAGAATTTAGCCCCAAATGTCACAGAACAAGAAAAGGATATACTTAAAAATAAGGGGGGAAAAGATTCAGAAGGAAAATGGACTTTAGCAGATGGAAGGCAGATGTTAAACAAAACAAGATCATGAGAAATTCAGATCATGAGAAATTCTGTCATTAATACATTAGAAAATACATTGGGGAACACAATCACTTTGTGATCATTTCCTTAGACAATATGGGTGTATAGGAATATATATATGGTGGCTAAACAACTAGTTGATCGATGTTTGATTTGTTAAAAAGTGAACAAAAAGGTAATGAGATAAAAAAAAAAAAAAAAAAAAAAAAAGGGTGGCTGGGGAATAGGAGCTAGCCATACAAAGCCTCCAGGTAGACTTAACAGAGCTACCTTAAATACAAAGGTGGAAGTATTTGTTGGTATTAGTGGCTCACTTAACTCATTGGGTGGAAGCAATCCCCCACACCAAGGGCAATGGCAAGCATGGTATCCAAGGTGTTACTGGAAAACATTATCCCCAGATATGGATTAATAGAAAGAATAGACTTGGGCGGAGGAACATATTTCATTTTAAAAAAATTATACAACAGCTATCTGAAGCCTTAGGGATCGAATGGGCATGGCACACCCCATGGCATCCTCGGAGTTCTGGAAGAGGAGAAAGAATGAATCAAACTTCAAAACAAACCTTGACTAAGTTAATGATTGAGACTCAGATGTCTTGGATTAAATGCCTGCCGTTGGCCTTATTAAGGATCAATACTCAGCCACGAACAGACCTGGGTATTTCTCCCTATGAAATGATGTTTGGATTACTATGTATGAGTAATGACAGGGATATTGTCATCCCTGAAGTAGGAGATCAGTATGTAAGAAAGTATGTAATAAGAATTGGTAACACTTTAATGAAACATTGGTAACACTTTAATGAAACTGAGAAAGAAAGGACTTCTGCCTCAAATATCACCATTGGCTTTTAATATCCACAATGTAAAACCAGGTGATTGGGTATTGATAAAAGTGTGGAAAGATTAATCATCAACTCCCGAGTGGGAAGGTCCATTTCAGGTGCTGCTGACCACCGAGACAGCGATCCGAACAAAAGAAAAGGGGTGGACTCTTGCCTCCTGAGGAAAAGGACCGGTGGAAAAGCCTCAGGAGTGGACTGTGGTACCATCAACTGACCAACTACAAGTCACCCTCAAAGGACTAAGTAAATTCATCAGGAGGGGATTGAATGACTCTTAACCAGTGGTTTGACTGGGTTTTTGACTGGGTTCAGAGGTAACACTGTGAAAATTTACTTATTCATTTACTTACTTGCTGTATAAGGAAACAAAAACAAAAAAAAAAACAGACAAAACCAAACAAAAAAAAACTGTCAGGGAAAAGCTGGCGTTTACCGAGCATTAACTGACAGACATGTTACAGAGTGGCTTTTGGTAACAGATTATGAGCATTTTGGATTCAATTAGGCATTGCTAGAAAATCAACCTAATTGGGTAATACCTTGTCTCGAGTGTATGTATGGATGTCATGAAGCGTGGGTTTTGTGTGAATGTGAAACGTGTTACCGGATGGGGTATTTCTTGCAGATGGAGAAAATTGTCTTATAACTGTATAGGGAAGGGGCATGAACTGTAACCTTGATTTACAGGGAAAAAGAGGTTAGTCCCCAGAATTTGTGATGTCCCTGAGAGTTGATGGGAGGACACTGTCAGGAAGTGCCAAAAATTTTGCTTTGCTTAGAAACAAAGGAAGTGGCTACAAAGGAGCTGCACTTGAATTGACTAACTCTTAACACATGGATTCGTTAAATAGTAGAGGGCAAGACCGGGTTAACCTCTGTGCTCGCCACCAGGAAGACTTGTATCTCAGCTGTGGGCTGCAACCCCATAGGCATGAGAGGTGGGAGCATATGTTATACCGGACCTCTGCTAATCATCCTGGTATGGTTTGCTTTAATAGTGGCAAATTTGTGCAGCAAGTGCTTTACTGTTATGTCCAACATCAGAGTGGCTTTGCTTTCCCAAAGACAGAAGGGTGGGATGATCTATTAGGAGCTTCCTAGTGGAAAAGATTGTTGTGAATGCGTTATGCCACGTGAAAACTATGATTGTAATTGTAAGGTATTATCTTGAGAGTGTTATGATAAATGTTGGAATTGTGGAAAAAGGTTTGTTTGCAGTGACGAAAATGAAAGTAGCATCTAATAAACAATAATAGGATAAAAGAAAAAGGGGGGATTGTAAGAAACTATGAACTAAGGGTATTGTTTATTGAAATTTATGTTAAGCTCAATGTAAAGGTTAGGCGGCAAAAGACAAAAAAAAAACTGCTTATGCAAATAGCTGCCAGACACCGCTTGTGTGAGACAAGATAACCTGTGAGACAAGATGACTGCGTGAGATAAGATAACCGCAATTGCTTACACAAACCAGATACTTGTGCAAGCAGAAGGGGGTACTGATCAAAGACAACCACGAATGTAAAAATGTATAAAAAGGAACTGTTTGAACTGATCAGTACGGCAGTTGGCGGAGCGCAGACTCCCCTGCCGTCCAGCGCTGTCTTTGCTCATATTCTACTTGCTATAATTAATAAAATTATAATTGGATTATGATCCATTGTGGTCTCAATTTATAACAGTTTTGAGGTAGTTTTTTCCCCCCTTTCAGAAAGGATCATGTTTCACCAACTATCAGAACTGATCACACTCACTATCAGCAAAATCAGCCTAGAAAGTAGCACCTAAGTTCAAGACCTACTTAACACACAGTAATTGGCCGCAGTAGTGAATGATTACCCAAGTATAGCTTGCTGAGCACTTCTAGAATGTGAAAAACTTCTTATCTCTCTTTGTTCAATGAAGATACTTATTTGTTATTGTTCCAAGCCCTGAATACCACACAATCAGATTAAACAGGTCCCAAAAATGCAGCCAGGTTACTTTCTGATAATCATCTTGTTTCCTTGCCATTCTGTAGTGACTTTGGCAAAATTATGGAAGTACTTTTTATTCTGGTATGTACCTCAACTATCTTGAAGAGAATGAAAAGAATTAGAACTTTCTTTTTTAAATAACAAAAAAGTTTAAATGACTCACACCAATGGTTATGAATTTCAATAATTTAATGCTAACTGTTATAAATTGAGACCACAATGGATCATAATCCAATTATAATTTTATTAATTATAGCAAGTAGAATATGAGCAAAGACAGCGCTGGACGGCAGGGGAGTCTGCGCTCCGCCAACTGCCGTACTGATCAGTTCAAACAGTTCCTTTTTATACATTTTTACATTCGTGGTTGTCTTTGATCAGTACCCCTTCTGCTTGCACAAGTATCTGGTTTGTGTAAGCAATTGCGGTCATCTTGTCTCACAGGTTATCTTGTCTCACACAAGCGGTGTCTGGCAGCTATTTGCATAAGCAGTTTTTTTGTCTTTTGCTGCCTAACCTTTACATTGAGCTTAACATAAATTTCAATAAACAATACCCTTAGTTCATAGTTTCTTACACTAACCAAGAGTACAAAGTGTGGAAGTCAGTGTCTCATTTGTATTGGTCTTAAAAAAGAAATCTAGAGAAAGTGTTTATACACACTGCAGCAGATTTCAGTATTAGCACCTTGAAGAGAAGTTCTTGAAGTGTTAAGACAGTATGGCAACACTGGTACAATACTAAGTACAAACATAAACCATGTAACAGCATGTTTTCACATTTCTAAGATTGAAAAAAGAGTGACTTAAAAAGTACATTAAAAACAGAAGTTGTTCAGTGTATTCACAGTTTGAGTAGAGATGGAATCAAGTGCTGGAGTAGAAAAGACCAGGTTGAATGATTTCAAGGCAATTATATTGCAAGTCCAAAGGCACTGACAATACAGTACATAGTCTTATTCTCCCATCTCACAGTGCAGGCTCCTACAAATAGAAAAATGGGTTTCAGAGACAGAAGAAAGTTACAGTGATTAAATGCATGCCCTTATATGCATGTTTGTAATTGTTTACGTTAAGAATCTTCAGAATGAAGCTTTCAAAACAGCTAAGCATTTCATACATAGCAGAGATAGCATCACAGCCAAATGGAAAAAATACCAAACTCTATGCTATTAGTCCAAAACTATAGCACCTGCGAAAAAAATAACAGTATGCCACCTAAGCTTAAGGGGACTAGCATTAAGGTTGTAAGCTGAAAAATCCCACAGTTGTGTTCCTTACCATCACTGGAGTTGTCCCAGAAGCAAGAGCTTGCTGCATGTAGCCCAGCACCATTCTTTTGCATAATCACACAGGTCACTGTTAGTCAGTAGAGAAGCTTTTATTAATTTATCACCAACATTAATTAACATTTAGCTACATTTTTGCTTAGCACAGTACATACACACACACACATGCATATATACATGCTTATGAATAGTTTACAGACACGGTCCTTGATAATATCTTCCCTCACCCCCTACCCATCAGCACACTTGACTGTACCCGCTTTAACAGAAAAGCTGAGCTCACCGATATACTTGAAAGGCTTCCCCAGCTTAGTGAGTTGGCTCAGGGTTTGTTCCACCACACTTGTTGTCCACTGGTTCACTTTGCTGTGCTGGTAGGCATTGCCACCTATCGCACTTTCTATGGCCTGTTGGTGACAAACAGGTAAAGCAAGCTGCACTGTTGTCAAGCTACAAGGCACCCGTTAACCCATTCCAACACGGAGCACTGAAGATGAGACCCCCATACCCACAGAAAAAAAATCCTAAATATTGATTGTCAATAACAATTGTTGGAAGTGTTTTCAGTTGTTAAAAAAAGTTGCAGGTCAGAGTTTAAGCCAGGCATAGAGGAAATTATCATAGACTCCATCTTCTCTTCATTTTGTGATGCTTTGATTATTTGTAATTCCTATCCAAATGTCCCGAAACCAGAGTTATGAAAAGGGTCTTGCATTTAAATAGTCATGAAGAGACTGAAAAAGTGCACACAGCAATGGATCATTCACACATACTCTTCGAATTTTTCAGCAGAGTAATTTTTGGAAAACAAAACCCCAAATCAGAACAAAAGACCCATAGTTGCTGGTTACTAATACAGCAGAGGCCTTCAGCCAAACAATGCATTCTACTTATGAGGATAATTTCCCCTTTAACATACAAATAAAAGTACATTAAAGCTGCATGTTTTTTCATTGACAATTTTTTTTTTCCTCACAGAAATTGTTTAAAAAATAACCACAATATTATTTCAGATTCAGAAGAGACAGGAGCATGTATTAAAGCATGTGTATTCAATTTAGAGAGTCTGACCAAAACAGTTGTTTTGCTACAAGAAAAAGATTACACTAGTGTACTCTACAAGAGGGATTCTGGACACAAAAACCAAATCCCTCTGGAAATTTTCTAGACAGGAAATTCATGTTTCTTAGCAACAAGAATGGTTTCATTTCAAGCAAACAAGAACTCATTTTGGAGGAAAAACATCTCAAAAGAACACAGTAACATGCACCTACAGGCAGCCTATGAAACTCCCCTATGTGTTACTGAAACATAAAATCTATCTCTATAGGGTTTAACATAAAACATCTGCCTAAACATTCTAATAGGGATACAGTGCAACCAGAGAGAAGCACTTGAAATTATTTTAGTTAAGTTTTGTATTTGTAATATATATCACAACTAAAGCTAGGTATCATTTCCACTTGATGTGCATTGGTTAAATCGACAATTATATATACTTTGATAGCAACCTACCTAAAAATCTATTACATATCAGTTATCAGATTCTCTTGAATGCCTTTTAGCACACAGCATACAACATACTACACTTTCACAGCATGAAAAAAATCAAAATTTTCGTTTACCTCTTTAATGATGCCACTGACTTCATCTACAACAAAAGAAGTCTACAAAAAAAGTAGAATTTTAAATAATCAGTGGATACATTCTTCTGTTTACAGAGTTCAAGCTTTGTTAAGAGCATGCACTAGAAACTTAATTTATGCTTGTCAGATGTCTTGCAAATCAGAAGGTCCAAAGTCTTCCTTTATTTGCTCATATGTAATTTGGCTCCTCAAACCCAGTCAAGCTAACATTCTTAGCAAAGTAATGAAAAGTAACAGACGAACTAATATTGGCTGGCCTTTTGAGTCAAAGTTTTCATATTTTAAATTGGAAGTATTTTAAAATAATATGTATAGCACTTCTGTACATATATATTCTCGTTTTATAATAAGCATTCATGCCTACAATTCACAGTGGGGTTGCAGAGATAACCTCAGTGTGCAGACACAGCTTACAGTTAAATGAAACCCACATCTCCAGGGCACTGATGCGGACTAAACATCAATTCACAACTCAAGGAAAAGTTGTCATGACAATCTCATCTGGGGATAAAAAGAAAACTGCCCCTTGGAAACCAAAGGGGAAATCTAGCTCCCTGGATTTCCGACCACCTTCGGCCTTCTCTCAGGCACTGGGGAACAGAGATTAAGCATGTGGAATTGGGACAGAGAAGGCCCCAACATTTTACTAATCTTAAAACTACTACCTGTTTACCGGTATGGTTGATATGTTTTCCTGTTTTAGTCCCTCAGCTCTTGCTGCCCCCCACATCAGGTAGCTAAAACAAGTCACCACCACCGCTGGGGCAGCCCGCCACCCCCTGCAGCCCTTCACATGGACGGGGAGCACTATCAGACCCCACACGGCAGCGAGCCACGCACTGCGTTTTTCCTACTGGGATCTCACAGCCTCACCTCACAAACCAGAAGGAAGGAATCAGACAAAAGAAATGCTCATAACAGCCAGCTAATTAATTTCAGGAGACTCAATAAGGATTTCAAAGTTAACCTAATCGAGCATATGTTGACTGAGTTTTCACTGGGAGGTCTGTCTGCTTTTACAGATGGCTAACATGAATAACAGCATCACTCAGGTGTGCAGGGAGGATGTAGTTACACTGGCTCAGGAGAATTTCAAAGTTATATTCATAAACCTTTGGTGAGAAGGTGAACAGTCTAGCCAGCTTCAATGACATGTAACATTGAGAAAGATGTGAGTAGAGGGGTGTTCTCTGTTTCAGAAGGAACAGCACACCGGGGGTGATACACAGGCAATGTCTTTTCTGTAACTATTCAGAGGCACAAACTTACCCTCACACTTCAACATTTTTGAAAGCTTTTATGTGCTGTGGCAATCTGGCTTTTATTTTCAGCTTGACTTTGATTTAATTTTAATATGCCTCATTTGTTTTCATGGTACTAAATTTTAAGGGTGCTTACATTTTAAGGTGCAATAGTGTATTTATCCAAATAACACCTAAAATTATCAAAACACTCTTTACCATAGAGCATAAATTAAGAATTTGCATCCCAGACATGCTGGCAGACATGAAGCGTGCTGCCAGGCAAGATGATAAACCATATACAGTTTTTTCTTCACCAAGTCTAGAACTCTGCTCAGAAATGTCTTTGAGTGAGCATAAACACAGTTCACCAAAGTAAAATGAATTAAATTCAACCCAAGGTCTCAAAGGTATTTAGATATCTAATTTGTAATGAAACAAGGGGGAAAAGAGTCATAGATAGATATGAGAATTTAGTTCTAAAGTTGCTGTTACTTCTTAACTTTCTTCCTTTTTTTGGGATGAGAGTGTATCTGGGTTTACACACACAACAAAACAGAACATAAAGTTCTGATATTCAGCTCTGTGATTTATGTGCCATAACTGAGCTGCCAAAAAATACAATACTACTAGCCCATCTTTTAATAAGATAATATAAACACTTTTTGTATTAAAGGGAAAAAAAAAAATAAGAAGTTTAACGATTTCCCTGCACTACCTCTCTGGCACAAGGAAAGCAGATGTGATGTTTCCAATACCTTGGTTAAAAGAGGTGCTCCCAGTCAACAAATGCAAACTGCAAAGCAGTATTAGTTTTCAGTAATTCTGAAGACATTTTTGAAAACAGCTGTAACAATGCTTGAGTATATTAATTATAGTTTCTTAAAAAAATATCTGTAACTGGCCAGGCCCAGTAAGGAGGACAAGGCTTTTAGAATATCACAAGCCTGACACACCTTCACTCTTAACACTGCTTTGCCATTGTCTAACCCAGTCACAATGCAGCTGTTTAAGAACAATGCAGCAAATTGTCACAGCTCAGAGAAACTGTCCCTCTGCAAGAGCAACACTTGCAGAGTAGTCATTTAGCATGATAAAGACCCTTGATTTATCCGACTTTGTACCTTCGTTAATGGAGTATAATGTCACGTTACTGCGCCTGTACCATGGAGACTACCTACTTGAGCCTTTCTTTCCTTACAAAAATAGCCTATTCGAGTCTTCCGCTGATCTAACCCGTACCAGTAAACCTTCTACCACAGCACCCTGCTTCATCACGCCGGCGAAGCCAGAAGCCACGATCCCCCTCGAGCATTTTCTCCAGTGACTTGCAGCGGCAGGTCCCGGGAGAAAAACAGGCGCGAGTCGACGCGAGGGAAGGGGAGCCCAGCGAACGCCCGAAATGCAGACGAGGGGCCGGCCCGGCCGGTCACCGGATCCGCTCAGAGCGCCAGAGGGCCGGCGAGCCCCCGGGGGGGCGGGGGAGGGGGCGGCAGGAACAAAGGCTGGGCCTGGCTCCCGCCGTTGCTCGGGACGCGCGGCTCAGAGACACCGCCGGCGCCCGGCGCCGGGGCGATGGGGGGCTCCCAACGGCCCCGCGCTCGCCCGGGAAAGACGGAAGGGTGGGGTCCGAGGCGGCCGGGCACCACCTTACACCCTCCGCCAGCCTGTAGCCTCACGAAAGGATCAGCCACGGTAGCCCCGAAGCTTCCCTCCTCCCGCCTCGGTCCGTTACCTCCTCCCCCGTCTGGAAGTCATCCATCTTCCCGCTGGAGCCCCTCGCGCCTCAACCGACGCCCCAGCACCGCGCCCCACGCGCTGGCCGCTGCCCGCACTGCGCCTGCGCCTCCACCCGCCCGCGGCGCCTGCGTAGTGCCGGCGGCGAGGCCCAGCCAACCGGAGCCGCTCTGCGCCTGCGCGCCCGCCTCCGCTTGGCTACGTGCAGCCCGGCGCTTCCCCGCCCGGCCGGCTGGCAGTGCGCCTGCGCGCTCCCGTAAAGCCTGCTTCCCCCCGTCCTCCGCCTCTCGCTTTACGCCTGCGCAATGCGCTCTCCGCGTCCCGGGTGCGTAGCGACGGAGAGAACTGCGGGCGCTGCTGGGCGCGGCCCGTTCAGCGCTCTCCAAGATGGCGCGGTTTCCATAGAGATAGTGCGGCGGTGTGGTGGCGATCGGTGGTGGGACCGCCGTCTCCTTGTCAGGCGCCCCAGAGGCAGGGGCTGAGAGAGAGAGAAGGCTGCTTGTCACGGTTGCGTTTTTCATACTGACAACTTGTCGTTTGTGCTCAGCGGGCGCGCCGGCAGAGAGATGGATCCCAGAGGACCTTTCCTGGGGAGGAGGATCTGCGTCTTGTTTCTGGAAACTGAGCTTGAAAAGAAGGCCTGAATATGTCATGTATGCCCGGGAACTGAAAAAAAAAAAAAAAAAAACAAACCCAAAAAAACCCAAAAAAACAACAACAAAAAAAAACAAACCAAAACAAAAAACAACAACCCAAAACAAAAACCATGGGAAAACACAGTATCAGAATTCTTACAGTTCTAAGCAGATCCTATTATTTTTAGTAGCCAGAATCAGGATCTGGACAATGAAATGAAAGGGTACACTTTTCACAGTTTATGGATTTTGTGTGTGAGGTGTTTACAGGTTGCCCTAATTACTGATGATGCCAGCCTCTGAGAGCTGCTCTGGTCAGTGGAAGATGCTGTTCAGAGTGGCCTGGATGAACTGGAGAAATAGCCTGAACGAAGAAGAAAATAACTTAGTGGGGGCGTGTGTAAAGGCCTATACTGAGCCAGGAAGAGCCAGCTCTATGAATGCTGACAGGGCAGGACCAGCTCTCTTGGTTGCTGTTTATATAGACAAGAGAGTAGGGGTGGTGTGTCATACGATGCCGCTGTTAAAAAAGGAGGTACCGTATTGGGACACGTAAATGGACATATAGCTTGCAGGATGTGGGAAGCACCATGTCTATTGTATTCTGTGCAATAAGGCCTCACCGGGAATACTGTGTCCAGGTGTAAATGTTGTGTTTCAAGAAGGTCGTGAGTTACAGCCTCGGGGCCCGAGGGCCCTGACCAGCCTCTGCTGTGGCCTCCACCCCGTCACCCTCTGCTCCAGGCCTGTCTCTGGGACAGACCTGGGCCCTGTGTTTTGGTCCTGCCTCCTGTTTCTCCTGAAGAAGACCTCGACTGTTCATCTCTCTCTGGGGCTGTGTGGGCACCCGGTGGGCAGTACCCACCCGGCTGGGATACAGTGGGACTGTGGCCGGCTGCTGAGCTTGGCTTTGGCCCCTCTCTCTCCACTGAGCCCTGTGCTCGCTGCTCCCTCTAGGCAGAAAGCAGAGACAGAAAAGTGAGGGCTGTGGGAAGGCTGAACAGGTGGTGCCTGTTTAGAAAAAATAAAAGGCTGTAACTTGGTTACATTCTTAGTATAAAATACTGCAGTAGTTTTCCATGTCCAGGTGTGAGAGGTAAAAATACAATGAGATAAAAGTGTGACAATTAAGGCTTTGGTTAAACATAAAGGAAAGCTGGTAGGAAGACTTAACTCTCCTCAGCCTTGTGATATGACAGATCTGTCACCATGGGTAGCTACAATCATCAGGTTATTTCTGGTCTTTCTTCTAGTTCAAGTTTTGCCTGAAATTAAGATCTAAACCATCCAAATATTCTCTGTTGGGCTTAGCTCTGTGCCCCTCTTAACAGTTGCTTTCTCTTCAGTGATATAGTTAAAGAAGGGGATTAAACTTGACATACACAGGTAGAAGTATTCAAACCTATTTAACTTAATGAGGTTGTAAAATTGCAGACTGACTAATTTTGCCATGTGAATAGAATTGCAGTGCTTTGTTGAATTTTAACTAACAATATTTCTTAAAACACCCGAAACACTAAGTAGGGCTTCTGTATTGTGCCTACAGTTTATCTGGTAGAGCCAGGAACAAGAAAGGAAATCAGTCTGCAAGAACAGCCTCCCTTCTTTTCCAGCCTTTGAAATAATTTGGATATAATTTTGAACTACATTACTCACACTTGGTTCTGTAATAGACTGAACTGGGATATCCAGTCCAAATAATGTTTTAACTTTTGTTAATCCAAGATCAGATTTCCAGTTGTGAGGTAAAATAATTTTCTTCCTTGTGCAGATACATAAAAAGTGAATTCTTTTAAACTTTTCTCTATATTAATTGCTTTGTCATTCAAACCTGAATAGAAAACTATTTTGTTTCCAGGAAATAACTGTTTACCATACAAGCAGAGTTTTCTGTGCAAGTCATGGGGACATTGAGGTTAGTTGTATTTTCACATCTATAGTATCAGAAAAAGAAATTATGTAGAACTCAAAGCCACTTATCTTCCTGTGTGTGGCTTGAAGACTGAGCATAGTTTGATGGTATCAGTCAGCTTTTATAGTCTCTTATGCAGAGTCTCTGTTTAATGTTAGAAAAATGAATAACTTCTCTCTGATTGCTAGTTGCCATTGTTGGTAACAAAACCAGAGACTTGGCAAAAGCTGTTGTAACACTAGAGCTCTTCTTTGCATGCATTTGCTTTTAGCTATTTTGGGGATGCTCCTCTCTACATACGTCAGTTGAATTTCGGTGCCCAAAGGAAGGAAAGGGGGTGGAGAATAACCACCAGTTTTCTTTAAGGAAAGATAAATATATAATAAGAGTGCTACTCATCTCTTAAAAGCCGTTTATTCCACGCATCTTTCTTTGATGGCTGCTGGAAAGGTAAGGACATCTTTTTAATGTGTTTTATATGACTTTGCAAAGAGGGGTGCATTTTTACTTTCTGGAATGGTGTTTTTTAGACTGAAGAGATTTCATGGAAAGACTACAGCTGGAACTTAAAAAAGTTTTGTTTGGTTGGTTTATTTTTTAACTTGAAATGCTGAGGTGGGATGTTATTAAAATTACATAACTTTGGTAAAACATTATCAAAGAAGTTATAAATAATTTGCATGTATGTATACAAGGATGTGAAAACTAAACAGTTGCAGTCAGGTAGTGTAAAATTACACTTGTAATTTTCGTAACTAAGAATGAATGTATGTGATTGGTGTCTGAAGCATAGAAAATAGCCATAAATTCCAGGAGCTTTTGTGATCGCTTTTACTCTGAATCTTCTTAATAGGTGTCCTAGCTACCGATGCATTACATCCATCTTCTGTGTTAATGGTGAAGTAATCTAATTATTTCAAGTCAATGAAGCTATGACTTTAGAAGATCAGTTTATTTATACTTATTTAATTGTCACTATTTTGCTAATGCTTAAGGATCTGAAAGGATGTAAGAAGACATTACATGGAAAATTGTTTTGAGAAAAAGTAACACTAAGTCAGGCATTTCTAAGTTCAAAAACTTTTTTTTTTTAAAAAAAAAGCTACCTTTTGCAAACTTAATCTTGTCCTTAGTAGGCCTTTTGATTGATATTCAGTTACATAACTGCATTTTATATCAGGCTATTTTAGCCTGATATAAACAAACCTGTGGTCGTCTGAGCTTGCATGGTGTGTGTGCATACCTCCCTCTCCTTAGATGTGGTCATGTTTGTCATCCCATGTCCTTTACAATGGCTTTGAGACTTCACGTGATAGTTTCAGAAAGCTACTGATCCATCTGCAAAGTACCTGACATGGGTTTATTTTAAATACGTAATTTAAAATAATGCTTGAACAAAATATTGTACGTGAGCTTTGTGCTGAAAAGGGAGAAGTATTATGGTGTTTACTAAAGAGGTTGCTGTTGCTTTTGGTTTTACATAGAACATGCTTGGCTTTGCGGTTAGCTGACCACATAAAACAGCTAGCTAGCTGGATTCAGTGGGTAAACATGAAAGGAGGGCATCTGTGAAGGTTTTAAGATTGCTTTTTCCTGTAAAGGAGCATCATTACTGAAAACATCACATTTAAAATTACTGCCAAAGAATTAATCTAATACAGACAGCTTCAGTGTTAGAAAAGCCCTTCTTTTACGATGGTAGAGAACTTTTCAGTCCAATCTGAACACCTTTGTGAAATGATTACAAGTCTGTTGTGGGGCACAAGGATTGTCTCCCATTTCGGGGATATAATACTTTATTTATTCTTAAACTAGATTTTGAGTTATCTTTGATCATGCAAGAAAAAATTACAGAACACAATGTTTCCATGCCCACATCTTCATAGAATCATAGAATGGTTTGAGTTGGAAGGGACCTTAAAGATCATCTAGCTCCAACCCCCCTGCCACGGGCAGGGACACTTTCCACTAGACCAGGGTGCTCAGAGCCCCGTCCAGCCTGGCCTTGAGCCCTTCCAGCCACAGCTTCTCTGGGCAACCTGTGCCAGTGCCTCACCACCCTCACAGTAAAGAATTTCTTCCTTAAAACTAATCTAAATCTGCTCTCTCTCAGTTTAAAACCATTACCCCTTGTCCTATCCCTACAGTCCCTGATGAAGAGTCTCTCCCCAGCTTTCCTGTAGCCCCCTTTAGGTACTGGAAGGCCACTCGAAGGTCTCCCCAGAGCCTTTTTTTCTCCAGGCTGAACGAACCCAACTCTCTCAGCCTGTCCTCATAAGGGAGGTGCTCCAGCCCCCTGGGCATCTTTGTGGCCTCCTCTGGGCCCACTTGAGCAGGTCTGTGTCCTTCTTATGTTGGGGGCCCCAGAGCTGGACACAGGACTGCAGGTGGGGTCTCATGAGGGTGGAGTAAAGGGAGAGAATCAGCTCCCTTGACCTGCTGGTCACACTTCTCTTGATGCAGCCGAGGGTACGGTTGGCTTTCTGGGCTCAGAGCACCCATTGATGGCTCATAGTCAGTTTTCCATCCACTAATACCCCCAAGTCCTTCTCCACAGGGCTGTTTTTAATCCACTCTCAACCAGCCTGTACTTCTATTTTAATCATGAAGATTAAAATAAATCCAAACAACTGTAGGAATGTCCATGTGCAATATTGATAGAGCTGCTGGCTGCATGATGGATTTTAAGCTTTACTCTGTGCAGCATGTGTGATCTTGTCCAGTGGTGAGAGAGTCACGGAGGCTTCTTGTCTCTCTGCATGTTGCAGATATGGTAGGACCTAGGGTCCCTGGCACTTTGCTCTGCAGTAAGTTTGTTCTTTTGTTTGGTGCTAGATGGTGCTCATCTTTCCATCTTTGGTCTTTTCCATCCTTGTGGCAGTCTACTGCTGGCATTAGATTCAGTGTTTATGATTTATCACTGTGCATAGGATATGAAGTGTAGCAATAGACCAACTGATTTGGATGATGATGTTTGCAGTATCACTGATGTGCTGAGGTCAAATGCCCTTCTGAAGAACCCTGCCCTGGCTAGGCCAGAACTTACCTTCCAGGGAGTATAGCTGCAATCAAGACAAAGTGGGAACAAAGAGATGATCCAAGCTGTTCTTTCCCTCACATCATTTAAATTTCTGCAAGCTTGAATAGCTGAAACCATAATTTAAAAAAAATGTATATGCATTTCTAAATAAGATTCTGTGTGACTCCAATATTTTTTCATACACTAAGATGTCATCTGAAATCCAGTTCCCAAAACAGGCTTGAAATATGTAAAATTTTGTGCTCTTCTGTGAAGAAGGGAGGTAGTCATCTTTAAAGAATTTGAAGGAGATATCAAATAGCAACTAGTTCTGTGCTTGCTTAACTGCATATGTTGCTCTTAGTAACTATTTTACAGTGGCATGTTCTTAATTGCTCTATAAGGCATTTATATATTATCTTTAAGATCACTAGAGCAGTTTTATTGGATCCACCTAATAATGACTATCATGAATTTGCTAGCTTTTGCTGATGCTTCAGCAGGATTTTCTGATGATGTTGTAGATATGCTAGCCTTCGGAAATCCTCGGAGTTTATAGGAAGCATAACTTATGCTGTAATGGGTGTTTTGGTATCTTGTACAGTGCAGAGGTCCCTGAGTTTGTACTGACTTCTCTTTCAGGTTGTATTGACTTAAATGGAGTTGAAGGCTGTAAACATACTCATCAATCCTGGGAGGTATTCTTAAGGTAAAAGATGAAAGCAGGTAAAAGATGCAGGGGCCTTTGAAAATGACATATATTGTGTTAAAAAATTGCTCAGGCTTTTTAGGTTTCGACTGAGTAATTTCCTGTGGAATTGCAGTTGGTAAGGAAATAAAATATGATTATGCCTATCTCTGTCTCTTTTGTTTCCACAGGAAACCAATCTTTTTGTTTTTTTCTTTGTTAACACTGCTTCTGTGAAATGCTTTGTCCTTTTGGCATCTGTTGAAGGTTTCACAAAAAAATATAAAAGAATGAAATGCATACTGTTTATAAACAGAAATTATCACCTCCTGCTTTTTTTTGTGTGTGTGGGAAATTAAGTAACTTAATAGGGGCAATCTGTATGTGAAGTAATTCCCTGCACCAACAAAAATATATTGTCACTATATATCTGAAGTTTTGGTGTTTAGGTTTTTTTTAAACTTAAAGCTCATAGTATTTTAAAATAATGATCCAGCAATGCAGATAGTTGGTCAGATTCTCAGTTGAGGTCCATCAGTGAAGCATCAGTAATTACTGTGGGAAAGCCTTATCCTTCTGTCCTCATGCTTAGACCTTCTGCCTAGAGCCTGACTTTATGTATTTAGTTCAGATTAAGTTTGAAACACTTAACCAGTTTTCATATACACGTATTTAATATTTGGTGTATGTTAAGTTGAACTCCCTTACATTTCTTGTAATACACACTGGACTAGTATCAAAACCAAATACGGTGTTTAAGCTGAATTAGACTGAATAATCATTTTCTTTCTCTACTTTGCTGCAAAGTATATTTAAATTATTTTCTATTTTATCGGGAACTTTACAAAAATGAAGGTCACAATATATCTAAAATACAGTTGAGATTCTGTTTTAATTTTAATTCTCATATATTTGTAGATTAGTGTCATCAGTTTGGGGGCAAAATTGTTAGTTCACTGAACTGGAAACAAAATATATCTTAACTCTAGTGTTTGTGTGTATTAACAAAGATAATAGCATTATTGTCTATTATACTAGTTTATCTAGGCTTAACAGACATAGGTAATTGATAGAAGTCTTGTAAAAGGTCTCTTTCCCTCTTTCCTCTTAAGCTTGTGATGTTTTGTCTTTTCAGTAAATAAGATTAGAAAGGGGCATTTTTGACTCAGCCAGTATGACTTTTTCAGTCATGGGGCCTGTAGGCCTGTGTTCAAAACTAACTTAAGCTTCTCTATTGGTTGTTTCATGTTGAACATACAAAAAATGTGAAGATCCATAGTTAAATGTTAATGGACAATATGCTGAGACTGGCTGAAGAGCAGGACTGTCTTAAAACCTCTCCTGTATCTGAATTAGTGCATGAAAGGTCTGAGTATAGCAAAATGTGGTCTACACATACTATCTGAAATGTCTTGAAGAGGTAAGAAGAGATAGTAACATGTATTCCTTTTTTTCCCCAGGCCTGGAAATCACAAATCTACAAGACCAAGTGAAAAAAACCCAACATTCCCCCCACTCCTTTATACCATCTCTTGGTGAATTGTCCCTCCATCTGGTGACAGTTAAAGCCCTGTCTGGGACCTTGCTGGAAGCTCACATCTCTTTTTGGAACCACTCGCAGCAAAAAAAGAAAAAAAGAGCAAGAAGGTCTTTCATGTAAAAAAGATGAGATTGCTGTGACCTTGCTAACTGTTCATATTCCCTGGGTAGCAGAGACACTTAAATGATGACTTGTGTGAAGACAGACATGGTTATTTTTCTCTTCAAGGGTATGACACAGTGAAACGTATCACCAATCAAGTAGGAGTGCAGGCACTGAGTAAGCACTCAGTGTATCCACTGCTCTGGACGCTGTAGAACCATAGTACCGGAGTCTAGAAAATAAGTGAAGTTGGGGGAAAATGGCCTGTGAATTTAATCTAAACTTCCTTAAGGAACTGGAACGAGAGGCTGTTCTGGAAGTCCTGTACCGTGACCAGATGGTGAGAAAAACAGAGGAGGAAAGAATAAGGTATCTGCCATTTCCCTGTTACTGTATTTCTGTTCCTTTTTTCTCAGAAGTACTCTCCTTCCTCTTTGCTGTCCTTCCAAATGTATTCCTTGTTTTTTATTTCTTGTTAGCTAGTCCCTTTTTATTCTTTGGGAAAACTAAGGGTTAGCCAGAGCCTCTCGGATTTACCATACTATTGACTACTCTACAGTAAAAATGAGCAAATACTCTTCAGTGAATAATCTGCTTGATGAATTTTACTTCTAACCTTCATAGAAAGCTCAGTTGTTGCCTCTATTTTTTCTGTGAAGGCTTTATGGCATTCTCATCATGTTTCTTTATAATCTTGATAACAACATGCTCAGATCTTTGACTGGCTTGTTTAACCTCTGTTATGCCAAGACTGGAGTTAAGCATCATTGGATACCTGATCATTGTGCTGAATCCATCACTGTCCCTTCTCACATGCAACAGGTAGCAAGTGCACCACAATGTCTTGGAGACTGTTACTAGTGTTGATAGGTGTCATTGGCTGGGAAAAGGGTTCTATTTAATTATTTCACACTGTACAAGTATCTCAGTTGTGAAGGATAAGGGATAATCCTGCAGCATTTTATTTGCTTTATATCTGGACTAGGGCAAGGATTTCCTTGCAGCCTGTACCCTGCTTTGTCACGTTGCATCCCCAGGTAAAACAGTGTTTGTGTTGCGTGCTTAAAATTTTTAATCCCTTAAATGTAGAAACAGAAACTTTGTTTACAGCAAACATTTATGTAAGTATTGCTGGACATATTAAATGATTGTGAAAAGTAAGTAAAGGGTTAGAGAGAAAGTCTGAATTGGTTAGGAAATCCCTTTCAACTGTTGATGATGTTGCTAACAATTAAAAACATAGATCTTGATTATTGGTACGTGTACTGGAAGCAAAGCTAATGAAAAGGAGAGGTTTTGATATTTTGGTCTGATGTGGGTTTTATTTAACTTTCAGATGATGCGTTTGTTATGGTTATTTTTACTTGATAGAAGATTCGATTCTTAGATAAATACGATAAAAAACATCACATGAAAGGGAGCACCATTTCGTCTCAATTTTTTTATGTGAATACAGAATCACTTTCATACACCATTTTGGTGCCCTGCCCTGAGGGTGCATAACTGACAGGAACAGAACCGCATTTATACTAGACTATTACTTTGTTTGCATGCACAGTTGTGGTTGCATACACTGTCACAGTGCAAAAGTGCTGTGTGTAGGCACCTTCAGACAGTGCTCAGCTGGGGTCAAACTTGAGGGTGTATCTCCTGCTAATAATAATAATAATGCACAACCAGGGTATTAGATTGTGATTTACATGAGGTTTTTGGTCTATTTAATTCTTTAATCTTCTTTTTTTTTCTTTTTTTTTTTCTTTTTTTTTTTAACCTGGGGATTAGGAAACTGAAACTGCAGCTGCAGCAGCTTCGGTGGAAAAGGGAAAGAAATGTGAGCCATGAATACCAGGAGAGATCTTGCGCTCGCTGTCAGAAATCACTTGGGTTATTGATGAACAGAGGTGCAGTATGCAATGGGTGCAGTCATCGAGTGTGCTCTGACTGCCGTGTCTGCCTGAATCCCTGCCTTTGGAAATGCACTGTTTGTTATGCTCATGGGTAAGATACTTTACTGGTTTGGATAAGTGCTGGTTTGCACTGGTTATCCAGTGAATGCACACTGGTTTTGTGTGTACAGTTAATGAAACAAAGCCTCTGGTGGAATGAAAATGTTGGATAAAGTCCTGGTAGCAATGTAATTGATGGGAATTTTGTGTTATACTTCATGTATTCAGGATTTCCCTTTCTGTATTTAGAAAAATGGATCCTCAGGGTAGGCCAGAGGTAGTGTGACAAAGATGATAATGGCAAAGCATAGAAACAGTCATTAGTTTCAGAACTGTAGATAGAACTCTTCCCCTGACACAATACTGAACCAGTGCATCATAACAAGTTGCTAAAGGTGCTGTGTTTTGGTTCAATATAGCCAATTTCTTGACAATTTCCTAATAATGATTTTTTGGCCTCATACTAGAGGAGTGAGGAACCTGGACTGATGAATAATTTGAAGTCATGCTTTATATAAATTTAAAAGGCATTAACAGCATTGCCAGGAATTGTTTCAATTTGTTTACTTTGAATTAGTTTTTTTTTTCTTTTACTGTGTCACCTTTGTTTTGACTTCCAGGAACGAGAAAGCAATCTTTCTTCTACTGTATTGGTACAATTTTATATCAAAATACTCCATCATAGTCCATTCTATTCATCAGAATCTTTCTAAAGCAAATGGTTTAGCTCTATTTCCACCTTTGATGAAAAGTAATATTATGTAGGCAAAGAAAGATTGTTTTGGAAATGAATCAACAGCTGCACTGGATGATATATATCCCTGTACAAAGGGTGAGGATTTGGATGAAATTTTGCTTTATGCCAGCATAAGATTAATGCACTACTTCACTCACTCTTAAAATGCCAAAAAGAGATTTAAATAATGCCTTGGAAATGTAAGGCAAGGTATTGGTCTTAAGCTAAATGAATTACCGCTAGTAGTTTGAAGTAATTTTCTGTAGTTTGAAAGAGACTTTAAACTGTCACTAAAAAGATGTTCTCTGAATCTTCAGTTTATTTTGCGATTTCTACATAAAATAGGTAGATTAACTCCATCTGTATTTGATGCAAAGCAGTTACTAGATTTTGGTGCATATATTTCACTATCTGTGCTTCACGCTATGCGCACTGAAAGGAAGAGTTAAAAAGTTAACTTACCATATCCTCCTCTAGATACCTCCCTCCACTTCCACTTTCAAACTGGTTTCCAGTTATTTGGTAGCCACAGTGGAAATCCCTTATAGCGAGTAGATAGCTGTTAAGCTGCCTTGTATAGTGCTGCACACCCTTAATTATTTCATAAGCTTGTCCAGATATTTAGTGGTAAAACCAGGAAAGCATGATTTAAATTAATTAAAAAACATTTTTCCTTTTCCTTGAGGAGACTACTTTTTTTGTTTTGCTAATATAGAGGAATTCTTAAGCTGTCATTGAAATTCTCTTTATAGCAAAGAGACGGCGCATTTGATCTTATTTAGTTGTGATGCAAAGTCCATTAAAATCAGTCAGACTTCTTCCATTGCCTTCAGTGAGCTTTACATCAAGGCTGCAAATCTCAAGAAGGGTGGAGAGTGCAGCAGTGAGGTTAACGCTACTCAGCACCTTTGTTTACCCTGGTGAGGGAAAAATAGGATGACTAAGAAACATAAGAGCTTATTTTCAAGTCCTGAGCAATCATAATTTTGAGTCTTGGTTACCACTAGAGTGTTTTTTTCTGAACAAAACATAATCAGCAGCAGCACTACTGAGATTCTCTCCTAGACAGTAGGGTCATGTTTGTTACAAACATGCTTAAACTTCTCAGTGGAAGAACATGCAGGGATGGGTGAATGTTCATTGTTTACAAAATGAAAAATTTAAAAAGTCTTGTGGACTGACAAATTTTGTATCTTTCACCTGGAAGAGGGATCTTTAATATGAATGGAATCGGTATAGTGTTTTGTTTTTTTTTTTTTTTTTCTTAAAGGAATCCTGTCTTCTAGGAGTCTATACAGACATTTACTTTGGAGGAGTTTAGTCTATTTTACCTGACAAGGACAGTTCTTTATCAGCTTTGTTGTCACAGCTTTGTTCATAGCTTAGCTTAATACACTCTTTAGCCTAAAAAAAAGAACAAAGAGGAGGGTATTTCCAGACCTGTTTTCATCCTTTGAGTGGTCTAGTTATCAGATGAGACTGTGCAGAACTGGAGATTAAACCCTGGGAAGATAACCGTGGGTGGTGGAAAGAACGTAAGGGGAAGGCTGGAGATGAGAATTGAGGCACTACCAGTGCAGAGCCCTTGAAGATTTAGTGCAGCCAGAGATTTCAGACATTTATTAGTTAATAGATCTCCATCCAAAGTAAATAAGTATTCTGTCTCAAAGTTATTTTAACCAAATTTTTAAACTCATCTGTGCTCAGTTACACACAAGTATCTATGGTTAGCCGTGAAAACAAATAGTACAATCTACACAGGTATTGAATAATGTTTTTTTTTAATGTTCTGCATTGTTACTTACAAAGGTATATTTTAGATGCCTAAAATGTTGTAAATTCAAGCCACAGAAAGAACAAACAGCATCCTACCTATAGTTTGTTTATTTTAACATAGAGTAAGGTGAAGTGTGAAATGTCAGGCCCAGGGATTTTGTTGCCTGGCCTTTGGTGGATATCGCTATAGCTCTCATATTTAGAGATTTTGCTTTCTTAAGGAGGCAAGCCCTACATGAATTTACCATCTATATGTTGTTGCCAATTTCAAGTGATTTTGTCTGAGGAAATTGTAATAAAGAGATTGATTTCACAGGAGGAAAATGAACTACTGGGTAGAGAAGGAAGTTTAGTGGTGTCTGCACTGAGGAACTTTTTGCAGTGGGACTTCATCCTATAATAAGCATCAGAAAATCCACAAGGAACAGAGATATCACATATGCCCTAAAAATTAGTAAGACATTTATATGAGAATTTGGAACCTGATGACTCCAAAGAATCCACTCCTCAGTTAAAATTCATTTTGTCTCTTTAATAACGGATAAGTTCAAATTGCAGACTTCATTTAAGTCAGTTAGAGACAACAAAATACAAATCTGCCTAAAATCTGCTCTTGACAGAGCTATTTAGTCTGATATCATTTTATACTTGTTAATCATTATTTTTCTCATCCTGTGATCCTGGTGCCCGTGTATGACATGGACATCATTGATGCTAGCCTCCACAAAATGGAGAGAGACGGGCCATGAAGCCATCGTACCGTCAGGGTTGTGGAGCTCAGTGCTCCCCGGCACCCATCCCAAGTTCTGCTTGTGAGCATGTTCTCTGTCACCGACTTCCCAGCTCCTCAGACCAGGCTGCAGCGGTGAGCACTGGTGTCAGCACAAGTGCCTGGAGCTGTTGCACAAGGTGGTTGTATAGACTGGAGTGGACCCAGGACTCCTGGCGTCAGAGCAATGCCTAGAGCAGAATGCATTGGCTTCCATGAGCAGTCTTACATAGCAAAAAAGAAAAAAGAAAGAAAAATGGAGGGGAGGAATCCTTTGCAGACCCACAGCAAAATCAGCCAATGGAGTGAGCAGTCATGCAATCCTAGTTTTCTGGTAGGATTAAAGATTTTTGAATGGTAATCAAACATTTGAAGAAATGCACTTTGGAAAATATTGATTCAAATGTCTTTTTCTTGTTTTTCAGCGATATGAAAGTAAAGGCTGGTGAATGGTTCTTTGAGGAACGAGCAAAGAAATATCCAGGTGAAGGTAATTGCTGGAACAGACCATAAACTGCTGTGTAATGTGTAGTCCTTATCTAAGTGAAACACAGAATGTAGCCTGCCACTGTATTTAATGTTTCTTCCACTTGGTGAGAGATTTGTCAGAAATTATCACGCAATGCATCTGTCTATGCACTAAATAAAACATGAACACAAAGTAGAAGAATGCATTTAAAAGTATAATTTATTATGTATGAGTAATAAGAAAATTGCTGGCCTTATCAGTTTGAATTAATGAGCGTATAAGGCTTCTAAGAAATACAATGACATGAAATAAATATAGAAATGTTAAACTATACGTGCAGGAAGGAAATGATGTTGCATCCATTGTTTGTCAAAGTTAAAACTTCAATTGCTTTCACTGAGAAAGTTCTAAAGCTTAAAGAAATGACAGAATGAAATAAAAAAACTCCATGTATAGCTATAAATCAACAGAGAGCTAAAGGTTTACTGTTCCTTTACTTTCAGCCAGCTGTGCCATTACCTTGTGGTTAGTCTTTTCAGTGCAATTAAAAATACAAAGCCCTAAGAGAAATTATAGAGGATGTGGATGGATTGACCTATGGGGAATGTATTCACCAACAAGGGGCTGATAGTTTTAATTTTCACCTACAATGACTAATGAGGTGGAGAGGATTTCCCCCCTCTTTCCCTTGAAGTGCCATATCAGACAGGCAGCTATTTCCCCTTGTGCCTGACTGTAGCTAAGTGTTACAGTTTCACTTCCAGTATCTGCATGGTGTCCGTATTTAAGAATAGGTGGTGAAAAGAGAAGTACTGAACCTTAAATATCTCTTGTGAAACTTGAATAGGAGGAAGAAGTTTATAAATGGAAGGATGTAATCAGGTAAATTTTGGTTAGTACGTATTCATGAAAGACAGGGGGTAGCGTAGTAAGAAACTGAGCTACAGTTCCTGCTAAAACAATTCACTTAGAATTTGAAAGATTCCACTGAATTCCATTCTAGCTAACAGACTGATTTTTAAAGTATTAGATGATTGATCTTTAAAGTACAGTTGTATCCCATAAACATTGTTAATAGTTTTCCCTCCTAGTCTCTTTCATGAGTATGAAGCTGGTAGTTTCAAAAATCTCTCTTGGTTACTGGAAAATGCTATGTTGTTCTCAGACACTGAATCTGATACTGCAAGGTACTGACTGTCCCTTTTTCCAGTAAATTAACTGAGTTCTCACCTTGCATTATCAAAGTTCTGTGGGTGCTTGAAGCATTTTGCTTAGGTAGTCTAACAGTAATACTGTTGAAGTCAGAAAGATCTAAGGATGTATGGAAGATAAGCCTGCAGGGAGAAATATGTTTTGTTTAGTTCCTTTGATTAGACCAGCTGACCTAATTAAAGGGGTTAAAAAATGTCAAACTTTGAAACACAGCAGCCGTTGCAGTTATGTATCCTTCAAGCCTGGAGAAACAGTGCCCTCTTTTGGTGTGAAAATATAGCACAAGTGAAGTAGTCATTGGAAAATAACTGAAAAAATATGTTACAGTGAAGTTTTCTTATGGTGCAAGGTAAAGTAAAAAAGAAAAGTTACATCTATATGCTTTTTATTAATTTTGTGTAGTTTCTACCTAAGGAGTAAAAATCATATTTTCATAAAAGTGGTAGATTGCCTTTACTAATAAATTAAAAATCTAAGAAATCATTTAATGCTGCAATAAACCAAGATACTGAATATTACTAATTAATAACAGAGTTAATTCTGGAGTTCTGACTGACATTTGTAACATCAGTGAGTTGATTATTGTTTCTACCACCACCAAGGTCTACTACTTTTATGTAAGTAATATGTTATAATTAATGACATCTTCAGCAAAGTCTGGGTCACACACTGCTTTCTGTACTAGGAATGATTAGTGAATAAATCCACTCCAGATATTTTTGGTTGGCCATTTGTTACGTGCATTTAGCCCTTCTTTCTCTTCGTGATCATTCAGGAGCAAACTACATTTTAATGAGCCTCCATTGTTTGTGCCTGGTGGAGCGCTTGCTCCTTGGTGTTCTTTACATCATGTGGCTGCTCACCTGAGGAACGTGACATGGTTGCTATTTCCCCACAGAGCTGGCCTTAGCAAAGGGTTTTGCTCATGTTTGTGAACTAGTCATGCATTTTCATGATTGTTCAGGTCTCTAGTAGGAAAAGTGAAAAGAATTTTTCATAAGATTCAAGAGATGACCATGTGCCTACTCTGGTACACATTTTCCAGCTTTCCATAGTGTTTGAGTTTTACAGTTGGAGTGTGCTTTAGAGCAGTGGGCCCGTGTACTACGTGCTGCCTGGACCTCAGGAGGCTGAGAGCCCTTAGCAACCTGTAGGAGTGGGTCTGTTGGCATCCGTGCGTGATTGTCCTCAGCATTTGTGAAGAGCTGGTCTGAACGTGTCACCTGCGAGAGGTGAAGGTGAAATCATGGTACAGTTTGTCGTACAGGAGAAACTTGCGTGTTGCTTGGCATGTCTGCTGAGACATCAGGTGGGGGTTAATTTCACTCCTGACTTGTATGTGCATGAGCTTCTGTAAATACAGGCCAGTTCCTGAAAGGCGATGATTTTGAAAAGTGTTATACAGGCATTAGTAACTGCTGTTGCTGCTAAATGACCTTTGGGTGTTTGGGTTTCTTTTCTCCTTCACAGGCAGACATGAAACAGTTGGTGCAAAGCTCTTGAAATCTTATCAGAAACTGAGGTAAGACTCATAAAAGGACAAATGGTCCTAGGACACTCAGAATTTGTATAGGCAATATATTGTATGTTATAAACCAGCCAGCAGTTTGTATTTTATTGTTATGAAAACCAAATTTCAATACTTTAGAGTACAAATGATGAAAGCATAGAAAAATTACCACTTTTATGTGTTGGCAATCCATAGAAAGGGTCTCAAGTACGAAAGAAAGTGCTATGTTTAGAGTAATAGTGTCTTATTTACTTGACATGAAGGGACATGCATTATTTTTGTTGTATCTGCTTATATTTTTTGCATAGCTGTTTACAACATTATCCTTCAAATTTATACACTACTTTTAAATGATCAGAGATGAAAATTATTTACTAGGTATAATAGAAATAACATCATTATTTGCTCAGTGGGAGATATTGCTGATTTGATAGCTTTAGAATAAATAGTAGACAAGAAGCTCTGTATTCAGTATTCCACTTACCAAACTTGAAACAAGTAAAAACTCCAGTTTTCACTGAGTAAATACTTTGACTAGAGGCCTAAGCATGACCATACTTAAGTTATTATCAGGAACATATAATGAAACAACAGTCTAGTTAAACTATATTGTTTAAAAGAAACCCTCTTCCTTTAAAAAAAAAATTAAAATAAGATACAAAGAGATGGCCTCAGTTTTTTGATAATTATTTGGCAAGGCATAGCTGCATAAGACAGAAATTTCTAGTCAGCTAGATATGATCTTAACCAGGGCTGCATAAGGACTTGCCTTTACCTAGATATGGTAAAAGTAAGAGAAAAGGAAGTTCACTGGCTGCCTTTAGGGTCCGTGATTGTGCTGTGATAACAGAATCAGTCAGAAAGCAGTCAGGTTTTTTTTCATAGACCGGGGCAACAGATGAAACGGCTGGAATGCTGTAAAGGGGCTCCAACAGCTCTGGGCCCAGGCAAGCAAGGATCCTTTTAGTATTGTAAATAAAGGTGACTGTTTTCTGAAAACATCTCTGAAACAGAGATAGGATGTGTTACACAGGAATTGTGTTTTAACACTCAGGACACAGATTGTAATACTGCTTACCATATAAAGTCTAGGAAGCTCCTAAATTACGTCTTCCTGATTGTTTTAAATGAGTAATTCTGCCTAAAGCAGCCCAAGACTGAGAAGATAGAAATGCAGTCCTAATTCTTACAAACAGGCAAATAAGCCTGTGCTGCAACTCTTAAATAAACAGGATCTTAACCCAGATCTTTAGACTGCAGGAAAGACAGATAATAAAGATACTGCCCAAGAATGTGGTTCATTTATCTATTAGCATAATATATTAATTGTTGCACTGTTTGTTGTCTCTTAAATTTCTAGTAAAATTTCTGTTGTACCTCCAACCCCACCTCCTTTCACAGAATCCACAGCAGGAAGCAACGTCACAGTAAATGTAGGTATCTGCAAAATATACATATACATGCACCTCTTAGGCTGTAATTCAGATGAAAAGGCTAGCCACAGAAATGCAGTAAATAGCAACTGCTGTAACATCGTATCGCGATATAAATGCTGCCTTATGTTCCTTTGTCTCTTTTTTAATGCTGCATTGGTAGTAGGAGAAAAGGGTCAGAGGCTATCATAAGGGATGTTTTCAACTAATTTTTAGTTTTTTTGAGGGAAGTAATTAACTGCTCTACTTGGCACTAGAATACTGCACCCAGTTTTTGGTGCCTCACTACAGGAAGGGTGGATGAGAACTCCTGAGCTCTCCTCCAGCCTGAAGGGTCCCATGATCCTATGATATTCAATGGTCATTTATAAAGTGATCATTCCATGTGTTACTTTCATTAGTGAGTGAAAAACAGTGAATTTGATGGTTGCCATTGCATTACAATTTCTATTGGTCAGAATAGTAGGACATAGCTCAGAACTCATAAAAATTGTACTGAATTACTATTTTGGTTTATTTTGGACTGGGTCTTCAGGCCCTGGTTTTGAAGCCCATTGCAATTCTGTAAACATTCTGATATGTGTTTACTTGGAGTTTGAAGACTCTTCAATTCAGAGGCATAGGGGCGTCTGTAAGAGATAGGACTTTCCTACTTGAAGTATTAAATGCATTACAACAAATCCGTGATGTAATTAGTTGTATTTATGAAATTGCTATGTGATCTTCCTACAAGGAGTTCCACGGACTAAAAAGATTATTTTTATCTTCATACATTAGGGTGACAGTTTTCAACCATGTCAACATATGTCTTCAGTTGTATTTGTCTATAGAAGTGAGCAAAGGGCGGCAGCTTTACCGTCTGATTGTTATGTGCTCTGTACATGTGTGATCATTTAAAACAGCAAATATTTTGTGTTTTCTTATTCTTGTCATCTCCCGTTTGCAGGAACTCGGACAGTCAAAAAGTTTTAATAAATCTGTGGAAAACTTGTTTCTGTCTCTCACAACACATATAAAAAGTAAGTAGCTTTCACTGCTTTGTCATTCTAGAGTAACATAGTCAAATGTTTCAATGTTCTGGCCAAGTCGTTGGCCAAAAGATAGTTGTAAAAAAAGGATATTGAGTAATAGCTGAAATTACTAATGCCAAGACTGAGCCAACCTGAAAAATAAAACAGTAAGTCTAGTTCTCCTTCAGGATTCTGCTAGTTTAACAAACTGATTATACCAACCCAAAATGCCTTTCTTGTGAAGATGTGAAAAGACGGTGTAATGTTATTTTTAAGTTTACTGGGTGTTCAGATACAGTCTATTTAACTCACGTTAGCACAGCATAATAACCACTTTCTGCTGTAGTGATCTTCGTGTTACATATCTGACTGAACCCCAACTGACCCTGCCAAAGAATCTATCATGTAATGGAAGTAGAGTGTAGTATTTTCATTCACTGGCAGTTTTCAAGAGGACTTCTTTCCCCTTTCTCAGTCTGCCTAGTTGTGTGGTTTTTTTCAGCGCATACTTCTGAGAGCCAGCCAGTCCTAACAACTCTTCTTTCATTCTGATACTTTTGGTTCGGACCATTCACTTATGCTGCCTGCTGTTCTTTAGGGTGCAGACTGTGTATGCGCCTCTAAGGCTAAATACACTGAGGACAGCCAGTCTTTGTGAAGAACAAATTAAAGGCAGCAGTGACCAGAGGAAAACAACTTCTGAGCCTTATGAAGATTACAGGGGCTTGCAGATTTACATGTATTTGAACGAACCTTAGTGTTTTCTTACTAGCTTAATCTTGGAAAACTCCAAATGTGAGATGAGACCTGAGTAAATTTGGCTTTAGGGCCTTTCTGCCTTTCACCCTAACTCTTGTCTTAGTTCTTGTCTGGTGTTTCCTCTATCTTCTTCCACCCATCCTAAAGGCCCATTCTTCTTTAACTACACACATTTAATGTTGTGTCTTTGTGAATTCCTATCAAAGCCATGGAGGGATACCATGGCTATCTCTCCCAAGCAAAAGTGTAGTGTAGGATGGCATAGGATACTTTGTTACTGGAAGCAGGTAGCTGAGGCAGCACAGAATTGGATTCAAAGTAACTTATTCTGCTTTCTGTTAGTTTGAAGCCTGATCATATCCCACAGTTACTGGAAAAGACTGTCAGGACTGCAGTAAGCTAATTTAATAGTTCATTGCTACCAAAAGGAAGGTCCTATTCCCCACACGTCTGTCTTCTTGCTCTGTTTCTGGCCTTATGCTGCCATCACGTAACTTGAATTAGCACCGGTGTTTCTGGACCCCTCTGGAAACTGATTTAGCTAATTAAAAGGGCAGAACATTAACCCAGACGAAACGCATAGGTACTTTTCTGATGGTTTAGTGAGTTAAATAGGCTCAAGGTAGGGTGTATATGTTGGAGCCTACACAAACAGATGGTGCTGAGCCATGTGGCCAGGAGCCCAGGTGTGAGGAGGGAAGACAAGTAGTTGCAGAGGGGGATAGCAGCAAGTTGTCAGGTATATGTGAAACCCCACCCAGGTGCTATCATCCTCAGTTAGGGTAGAACCTTTTAATTTGTGAGAAAATAACAGACTGTTGCTGTCACTGAATTCAATAATGAAAAAAGTATAGGAAGTATTCTAGAGAGAAAGGCTTGAACTTCTTGGCCTAAGAAAACAGCTCTTTCAAACAATATGGCCTCTTAATGAAACCTGGTACTGTGCTGATAAATGCTCTCAGTCACGAGTGTCTAAAGTTAGTACTCGATATCTTATCTAGATAAAAATGTCCTGGTTTGCAGAGGTATTTAATACACCCAGCTCTTGTGTGTTGCAGTAAATAAACCTGAAGGACCTCGTTATGCCTCTGATTCTATCACTGGAGCCAGCGTGTGTGCATGTCTGAGAGCAGCAGGAACAAAGGTTTAGCGTGTGCAGCACAATGCTGCCGTTGTACGGTCTGCTCTCTATGCTGTTACCTCCTGTTCCAGCATGGTTTGGCAGCAACAGGAGACTATAATCCAATGGTTGCCATTTGGTGAATGTAAAATGAGTTGCTGGTTGTAGTTCTACTTGCAGTGCAAAATCACCCTTGGCACTAGAGATAGTGTCTGTCTTATTGACCATTTGGGTAGAGAAGCCAAAGGAGTAGATATAAAAACTGAACAATCATTTTTTTCTCACAGTAACCTGTTCTGTAGCCTGTTCATTTTAAGAGAGCATGAGGCAAGCTTGTTTTTCTGCTTCTACTGCCATTCAAACCACTCAGATTGTATCTACTCCATAAGATCTTTCACTCCAGTCTCTTTTATGATCTCTGATTTCACTCTGTATTTTAAAAACCTGATTTCATTTGCAGTCAGAGATGACTTAATTGAACCTACCTATGAATATGTCACATGATGCCTTAATGGTGTACACAGAGTACAGTAAACATCTGTGGACTGATTGCTGCTAAGAACAAAACTAACCCAAAGTGGCTTTAAAAATCACGCTTAAGAGTGCCATTGTTTTCGAATACAATAATGACATGTTGTCTGCTGTCTGAGGTTCCTCCACAGAGGCTCATGTTGTGAGAGAAATATTTATTTCTTCTGTATGAATTAAACATATGATAGCTATTTTCATGTACCACTTACAAGTTATTAATTCTTCATGAGAGACTATCTGGGATTTACAACAGCCTCTGCTGCTAAGCTTGCTAGTTTTAAACTCCAGAAATCACAGATGAGTGCTGCCCTTCCCTTTAAGTGAAGTTCTGGCTGTACCCTGAGGAATAAGAAGCAAAAAGTGGTGCACTAAATGTCCAATTATCCTATAGATTTATTTGACAATAAAGTAGATGTTACTGAAGTGCTAATTCAATAAAGTACTTAAACATGGGTGTAAGCTTATCTATATGAGTAATGTTATTGAAGTCAATGAGGGCTACTCATGTTCTTAAAATTATATGTGGTTTGGGATCACAGTATGTAATATCTCTTTCATCCATATTTTGGATAAATTTCTAAGTGCTTTCCAATATGCTCTGCTTTCTAATTTCCATTGTCATGTCGCTTTATGTTGTTATAATGATCTTACTTTTTTCCTAAACTAAACCAAACTGCTTTACAAATCAAACTATATGTAGGGACTGTGGTAGCTACTTCTGCAGGGAAACTGCATTTGATAGCATACAACAGTTTCTTGCAGCAGCTATAATGGAAGCAAGGAGTATAATTTCCCATTGAAACAGCAGGAAAGATTTAGGTAGGCAAAATATAATTATACAAAATGAGACAAGCACTTGCCTTCATATCTGTTTCTTCTCCTTAGGAGTTCAATACTAGAATTAGAATCATAGAGTCGTTTGGGTTGGAAGGGACCTTAAAGATCATCTAGTTCCAACCCCCCTGCCATGGGCAGGGACACTTTCCACTAGACCAGGGTGCTCAGAGCCCCGTCCAGCCTGGCCTTGAGCCCTTCCAGCCACAGCTTCTCTGGGCAACCTGTGCCAGTGCCTCACCACCCTCACAGTAAAGAATTTCTTCCTTAAAACTAATTTAAATCTGCTCTCTCTCAGTTGAAAAACCATTACCCCTTGTCCTATCCCTACAGTCCCTGATGAAGAGTCTCTCCCCAGCTTTCCTGTAGCCCCCTTTAGGTACTGGAAGGCCACTCGAAGGTCCCCCCAGAGCCTTTTTTTCTCCAGGCTGAACGAACCCAACTCTCTCAGCCTGTCCTCATAAGGGAGGTGCTCCAGCCCCCTGGGCATCTTTGTGGCCTCCTCTGGGCCCACTTGAGCAGGTCTGTGTCCTTCTTATGTTGGGGGCCCCAGAGCTGGACACAGGACTGCAGGTGGGGTCTCATGAGGGTGGAGTAAAGGGAGAGAATCAGCTCCCTTGACCTGCTGGTCACACTTCTCTTGATGCAGCCGAGGGTACGGTTGGCTTTCTGGGCTCAGAGCACCCATTGATGGCTCATAGTCAGTTTTCCATCCACTAATACCCCCAAGTCCTTTTCCACAGGGCTGTTCTCAATCCACTCATCACCAAACCTGTATTTGTGCTTGGGATTGCCCCAACCCATGTGCAGGATCTTGCACTTGGCCTTGCTGAACTTCATGAGGTTCCCACGAGCCCACCTCTCAAGCCTGTCCAGATCACTCTGGCACACTGGATCCCTTCCCTCCAGTGTGTCGATCACACCACACAGCTTGGTGTGGTCAGCAAACTTGCTGAGGGTGCACTCAATCCCACTGTCCATGTCACCAACAAAGATGTTAAGCAGCACCAGTCCCAACACTGACCCCTGAGGAATGTCACTTTTCACTGCTCTTCACTTGGACATCAAGTTGTTGACTGCAACTCTCCGAGTGCGACTGCCCAGCCAATTCCTGATCCCCTTAGTGGTCCATCCGTCAAATCAGTGTCTCCAGTTTAGAGACAAGGATGTCATGTGGGACAGTGTCAAATGCTTTGCAAAATTCCAGGTAAATGATGTCAGTTAAAATTATAGGGTGAAAGTTTGAAAGCTACAGAATTTAGCCTGTAAATCTACAGGATTGCTTGCAATGTTTGTTACAGTGACTTTCTCTTTATTTTCACTTCAGAAATCTCTAAGTCCCAGAATGATATGGCTGACAGACGTCTCCTAACCACAAATTATGGGCAGAATGTGGAAAGAAGGAAGCAAAGGAGGAGCCAGTCTGACACCGCCATCAACATTACCAGCAGGGTATCCATATTATTATACACTGTCTCTAACTGTAAGGGCTGTTTCAGGAATGGAATATATTTGTAAGAATGACTTAAACAGTGGAATTTTACTTTTATTATATGAGCAGGGCTTAGATGATGTTCATTGACCGTGGCCAGGACTCTGGTTCTTCACAAGGTTTATGGCAGAGTCTGTACACTTGATCTCAGCCCAGAGATGAAATTTTACACTGAGATTCTACAAAGACCCTCACACAGGGAGGGAGAGGATGGGTCATTTTGCTCTCAGGTTGTCTGTCACAGCCTCTCTTGAGGCTGATGGATGTCTGCTCTGTGCGATTGTTGGGCTGCAGGGAGGTACGCTGTCTCTTGTCCTCCTCCTGCCCCTCTTGCTGCTGAACAGGACCCAGCTATGACCATCCAAACCCCATCCTGATGCTTTCTGAGCACTTTTTAATTTGTCAAGGAGAAAACGTTGACTGCTGTTAGTTGTTGAGCAACTTCCCTTTTCCTTTTGCTTTGGTTACAGTCTCTAGCTTTCAGTGTTTTCCTGAGAAGTTTGAGGAAAATCCAGCCATCTGTTTTTCCACAAATTATGTTGGGCTGAATATGACATCACGTATCTGCTTTAAAGTTACACTGAAGATTCTGTTTTGTACACTTTCCCCTCCCAAGTGACTGAACCTTGTCCGTGCTCAATTTTCCACATAGTGGGTACTTACTGAATCACCTTGTTCATCTGAATGAGGCAAATGTGGTCTGCTAAGTGCCAGAAGGAGATGCTGAGAAAAGCTGCTGCTTTGGGCCAGGCCTCATGGCAAATATTACTCACAGCTCCCTTGCTGCACACTTTTCACTTTCCTCGGAAGTGTTAGGTGTTGATAAATGGAAGAGACAGGATGTCAAACCACATGGTCTAGTGGTTTGAATTGGCCCAGCAAGGTCTGTGAAGTCTGCAAAATTAGTTCTGGTGTTTTTGTATGCAATTATATTATAAACAAAATTGGCAACAATTATTAACTACACAAGTGCTGCATTCATTGTGGCAAACCACACTTCATTGTTCCTTTATTCACTGGCAGAGCACTGCTCTTTTGATGCATCAAAAAAACATTGGAGTTGGAGATAATATGAACTATATTAAACTATGCTTCATTGCATGCTGATCACACACAGCCTGTCATGTTTAGAAGAAAGATATGGATTCTTTGGCTTGAGAAATGTATTAGTGGCGGATTCCAAATTATTTGTGTGGGTTTTTAATTGCCCATGTAAAGATTTAGGACTTAATTTATGTCCACCCTTTGCATTACAGAGTTTGAAAGATTTCAATGTTGCTAGAATTAGTGTTGAACTTTTTTTCTTGTGAATGTCATCTTTACCATTTAGGATTTTATAATATTGAAGGAAATTTTACTTGTCTGTCCCTGCACTTATATGATGGCTTTTGTATCTTTAATGTGTTTTTTAAAATTGTTTTTAATCTCTGTCAATGGCACTATTGCATTAGTCTTCAATTTATTTTTTCTTTTCCATCTTTGTTTTCCTTTAATAAGTGTAGCTGCTTACATCCTTACTAGAACTATGACTAAAGCTTAGGGACAGAACCTGTTTTAAATTACACATGCAAAACAACCAACTAATCAAATTTATAACAAAATATGATGTAGAAATCTTACTTGTGATTTCCACCCCAGAAAGAACTTTCCTTTTTAGAGGACGAATCAAACCAGTGTTTTTTTCCCCTAGCAAGTATGCATTTTTCTCCTAGAAATGACTGGGAAGTAATAATTGTAACTGCTGTTTTGAATGTGCAGGGTATAAGACTGGGACACCACTTCAGTCTCAAGAACACTATCTGTTTCTTAAATTGTCCAAACCTGTGATATGTTCAGAGCTTGATTTCTTTAGATTAAAGTTGAAAGAGATTCTATTTAACTTCAGTAATAGTGAAAAAACAATCCAATGACAAGAACTACGAGCCAGTGTAAAATCTGGATTTAGGTAGTTAATTGAATAGTGTTTTCCAGGGCCTCTCACCATCAGAATCTCTAAGTACATTAAAGGAACTTCAATTATACCTGCCTCACTGGGGGACCACGCAGACACGTGCAAGCTTTGGGAGCTGTCTGTGGTGCGTGGGTAGCTGTGGGTTGCCCCTTCTATGATGGCAGATGCATGCTGCTGCAGACTAGGGCTAGGGGGGAGCCTTGCTAAGTTTAGCACTGGTAGTTATGTTGCCTTGTCAATCACTTATGTTCTGTTTAGCACAATGGAGAGGTCTTTCTGATCCAAGTTAAAATTCGGTGTGTAGTAGGTTGTTTTGGTTAGCAAGGGGACTTGGTGGTGTTGCAAGTTTTTATAAATCAGAAGATAATTTCTCTGCTGAGAAATAGGCTGTTTTGGTTTTGTTTAGGTTTTTTTTTGAGACTATATTCTGAATGCATTTTCTGCCTCCTTCTCACAAGGGAACTTAATGAATTCTTACATCTATTCTTAAGGTAGGGCAGTTATTACACATAACAATTTCTGTGTGTTCTAATAACAGCATACTGGTTTGGATTTTACACATCCTGTTTTTTCAGAACTAATCTCTGTTGTGCTCATCGTTTAGTGCTTTCTGCTGATTATACAGGAGGGGTTCCCAGGTTTGTTGAATATATATTATCTGTTTCTTTTATGCAAATAAGTCATGATCCTTTTTGCTGATTCAGTCACACTATATTCTTTCTAGTCTTTCAAGTAATCCCTGTTATACTTTTTTTTTTTTAAGAAATTATTTTCTTAGATCCTAACCATGTAAAATTTCTTACCTCACTCTTTTTCTGCCCACTGAACTGTGAACATACTTTTCATAGATTGTATTACCCAGGGGTAGTGGGCTGCCAGAATGAGCTACAATCTATTTTCAGCATATTTCTAGCCATATATATTAGTCTTTTGGCACTTCATTCTGTTAACTTTTGTTATTGGTAACAGAGGTGGCTGAAGGTAAATCTCAAGGAGCTTTGCTACTGTATATCTTAATTTTCCACAAATTATCAGGCTTTTCATGGGAAAATTGGAAAGGTGAATGGACTTGTTCTTGACTTTGCTTTGACTACCTCAGAAATTTAAAGTTTATAATCAAAGTTTAAAAAGAACTTGTGAGTCTGTTTCTATTTTCAGGTTTCTTTTAACTTAGATTTATTCTTGCATAGGTAGACGTGGGCATGTGTCATGCATGTGGAAAAATACTATTTTTAATTTCCTGGAGGCAAAATTTTTTTTTTCTTCCAAAATTACTGTTTTGATAAAGGCTAATAAGGCCTTTTGGTGTGCTGTTAGTAGACTGCTATTAGTAATTGCTGCGGTAGTGATCCTTAGATTAGGTGGTGGTTTGTTGATTTTAGAAAATTATGAACATAATGAATGTACTACTAGCTGGGACGAGAGACTTGTAAATCAACATTTAAATTAAGTTCTTATATTGTCTTTGAAAGCGTGCCAGCTGCATGACATTGATCAGAATGAATTGTAGCTATTTACCAAATTTTTTTCTGATAGCATTTCTGAAGGAATTTGGGCATTTTTCTTAAATTAAAATAAAATTACTTGCCAAATTTCTTACAGATGAAAAGTACACCCAGTCTTCAACAGCTCATCACTGGGGCTCAAACTGACAGTGAAATTCTAACCAAAAGAAATTACAAGGAGGAAGACGACGACATAACAACCAGCCCCACAAGTGATGCAGTTTTCTGTGATGGCAGAAAACACGTAAGTTAAAGGGTGAACCACAGCAGAACAGGTGCTTAGCAGGAACAGATACAAAAGCTAAGGTCTTGTGCAAAATGTTGGTGTATTTTGGATTATATTACAAAATGAAGGAATAATTTCATTTGAGTTTATATCTGATGAAAGACTGACTGTCTTTGGCGGCGTGGTCCTCATAGTAATGCTGTGAACTTTTTTGCAGCATAAGCCCAATCAAAATAACAATGGATAACTGATAGATGGATATATCAATTAATAATGAATAATTGATAGATTAGGTTCCTCTTAATTTTATTAATGCAACTAACATTCTTCCCATTTTATATTAGTGTTGGGATCATGAACATCGTTCTTTCTAACCTAGTAGCTAAGTTTTTTTTCTTAAAGCTTCATTTAACAGATGAGTTTTGTTATTCTGCTGGAACTATGGTAATGGAAATATCAGTGAAAATTCAAATGTCAGAATGTCAGTGAATGAAGAGGAAGCTGACAGTGACGGAAGCCAGGGGAGCAGTTCATGGGTATAGGGGATGGCATTGAATCATCCTCTGATGGATGGCATTCTGAACACTGCAAATGAGAGAGAAGGAAGCCAGTTATAAATGAATTCAGCACATGCTTTAAAGCCTCTATGATTAGCTGTGGAAGCTAATTTCTGTGCATTAGTGATGAGGTTAAGCAAGGTGAAGTATCCAAAGAATCCATGACTGATGTTGCAAAGAAAGGAACTAAAATGACCGTTAGGGAATCAAAATTAAACCAGCCTGCTCACTTTGCAGAGGAGTAGAAACACACACAAAGACCTTGGCACACTCTCATAGTTTACTGCACTGTGGAGTCTGAGGTGTTAAACTGACAAATGGATAAGTTTTCCATGACATCTGTGATTCTATTGACAACCATTTGAACTAAGCTATAGACAGCCCAGGCTTAAAATTGAAATATTTTCTACTATCTTATAAAGGGGAATAAGGGGAAGGCCAAGTTCCATTAAGCTTCCCTTAGTGGGTAAGTGTTGGATGTTGATGACTGCTCCATGAAAAATATATCTTCCAGAGTATCAGATGGCACTGCTTCTAGTCATGCCAGCAGTAGTGCAATACATGAAGTCATTGCTAAATCCCTGTTCACTGAACCAAAAGGATGAGTGATTTCTACACTGCATATATGTGACTCCTGATCAAGTGGGAAACATATGTAGTGATGTTTGATCCAAACATCACTAATCAGAACACCTAACCAGCCTCTCTAAATATATAAGAGGTTCTGTGAAATAAATATTAGGGACTTCTGCAAAACTTTTTTTAGGACATATGAGCTAAGACAAAAATCTTTTTACATTCCTTTGTCATGAAGAATTTTGGTGGAAAGTAAGTATCTTCCAGTCAGATAAATAAAAATATAACAGTGAGTGAAAGAGAAAAGCTGAACAAAGCTGCAAGACAGGTTGATTATACTGATACATGTCTCGTGGAGGGAGCAAGATTACATGCATCAAGCATCAGGTCAAGACAGTCCTAACACTTCTTGTGACTTCCTCAGTCAGCACTCTGATCCTTCTCTTGTCAAATTTGTATGTTACTTAGAGCTTATAGAGTAGATAGCTTCTTTAATCTAATTAAGCTGTTGATGCGAATTTTAAAATGCATATTTGGCAAGGTGCACAAATGAAGAAGAGAATCTGCATGGAAGAGAGATACAATCTTATAAACACTACTCTGTACTCTTAGCTGCTGGGTTGTGCAATGCAGAAATCCTTGGTTAACCAGTCCTGTGTGGGTTGGTGTTTATTTTCAGAGGGAGGAGTGATCTAACACAGATATTTTAGCAATCTAGGACAATGTTACTGTGAGATTAATCACAACAACAATTGTGTCTTTGTGACATACGCTATGTAAAAGTTTCTAGGGCTCACCTTAAAGAATACCATTATAAATGAATGGATACCATACTATTTTGATTGAGTTGGTAATTTGTTCCAGTGAAGGCTAGACAGCACCATAAAGTTACATGTCTGCACTGGGTCACAGAAAGGATTATAGTCTCTTCCTTCACTGCAGTTTCGTGGCCTCTGTAAATGCTAGACACAAAGGTTGCTTTTGTATGTGGATGGACAGCATACTAACCTTTGCCCCATAGGTGACAGTAGATGAAAGGAGAACAAAGTGGCTGAGGAGAGCTAGGAAACAACTTCTTTACGCACCAACATATGACAACTGGGTGTCTTCATATTTTAATAGTTCCTGAATGGTGTGATGCAGTATGGAGAGTGTAGTTTTTATATGGAGTTTGAGCATCTTGTAGAATATTTACTGGATGTGCAAGGCCACTTTTGTTTCCTTTAATATGTGATAGAATCTAATGTCTTGGCAGTGTACCCTACTATGAGCTATGTATTAAAAGCAGTCTAATTTGATGGGGTTTATGCACTTAGATTTCAGAGGTTTTTTCACTTTCTTCCTTTTAGACACACACCCCATTTTGCTCATGGGGAGCCGCATAGCAGTCTTATCCAGAGACAATTTCTAAATCTAGAAGTTACCTATGAAAGCATTTTCTTAACCTAGAGAGCTTACTGGAGAGAAGAAGGCAAAGCAGTAGAATTGCAATTACAGTCATAATTTTCAGGGCTGTTATGGAAGCAACAGAACATTTTATAGAGGTTACCTTAAATCTTAGTGGTTTGCAGTAGCTCTACAGTCACGTCTGTAAAGATACTGACCTTTGAGGGAAAGAAGTGTTTTGTCCTGTTTGATCTGAAGCTACTATTCCCAAATATTTGTCTTTTCTTAGGGGAGTTTGTATAGTCTTAACAGCACTTGCACTGAGTCTGGAAATTTTGGCAAGGCTAACATCACGGGAGAAATAGAGTTTGCCGTAAGATATGTCTTCAAAGCTTGCATCTTAGAAATTTGCATCAAAGGTTGCAAGAACCTAGCTTATGGAGAAGAGAAGAAGAAAAAGTGTAACCCGTAAGTATTTTGTAGAGAAGGAGAAAAAAATAAGGAAAATATTCTGTTTTTAAGATACTTTTATATGTTGTGATTGAAACTGGTTAATATGTGGATGCCATATTGGCACTTTCAGAACATCCGACATAACCAGCCCTTTTTACATATACACACTGCAAGACAAGTAGGTTTCATGCCAGCTCTTACTCCATTTTCACCATTTTCTGCTAATAATTGTCTCTCTGCCTGTGAGCAGGCGGTTGGGTATCGGTGTTGCTGATGTGTACCTTTGGATCTTGAGAGTATCTGCTCAGATTTTAGCTCTTAAGTTGTGCCTGCAAAATTAATACATAAGTGCCTAAAACATGAGATGTCATGTTCCTAATTCATCAGCTGACTCACTGTGGGTTGCTGGGTGATTGCTATACTACTTCTGTGCTTCCATCTTCTGTGGTAAGAATAGAAATTTCAGATACTGCAACACATTTTAAAAACTAAAGCTGTCTAATAATTATGTTTTATTGTAAGAGGAAGAAATACCTACTTCTGTGGATAAAATATGCCATAGAAGTTTTTGGTTGGATAGTTAGGCCTTGGTGATTTGTCTGTTTATTACTAAATGATCCTCTCTGAGCACGCAGCCGCCATCCATAGAAAATCACCAGGTAGCATACCTAACTACCTGTTCTTGCCCCCCCCGTCACACCGTGTTTGAGCACTTGAGTGACCACATTGGAATGGTGGAGTTGCAATCACCTTCACCCAGAAGGAACGTGGCTTTTGTACATCTTGCAGAAGACGTTCGTAAAGATGAGCTTGGTGATGAAAGGAGCCTTGCTGGCACAGCAGCTCCTGAAGCAGGGCAGTTTGGGAGCACTTCAGAAGTGGGTCAAGGTTCCCAGGTAATTAAACCAGGCAAACAGTTGCAAGAAGCCTGAAAGGCAATGTGGGAAGTGCCACGTAGTGAACATTATGTTCTGTATTGGTATATATTTATATATTTCTGTTGGGTCTCAAGCCAACAGAAAAAGTACAGTCAATGTATTCACTTAACACACTTGCCAAAAAGCAGACTTCTAACTGATGTTTAAAACCTATTGGATTATTTACGTGTTGACTGGTTTGAAGTCTGACTGGTTGCTATTTAATTAAATTGGTCTGGGGTGATAGAGCAGGAGGCTAAAACTTCTAGTACCTGAATATTTTAAAAAGTAGTTTTAGCAACAGATAAGTTTGGAAAGAATAGGGAAGATGTGTAAATTCTGCATGGATGGTATGAGATACAGCTGATCTTATTTACCCAGTAAGATAATCAAGAGGCTGTTTTAAAATTGGTTTAAATCATAATATATATATATATATATACAACAAAAACAGTTTAAAGATATTTAGTATTATGTTAATAATCACTCATTTCCCTGCCAAGATGTGAGCAAGAACTCTCTATTGCTAATACTTTTTAGTTTTGAAGGCATAACACAAATACAGCCCGCCGAACTCATATTAAGGGTAATATTTAAGTATTAATGTTCACGTGACTTACACATGAGAAGCTTTGGGTAGGAATTGTTGGTGCTTGGTATTGGTCCAACTCAGCTTCCAGAATTTTTTTTTACTGGTTTTCTTTAAATCAATAATAGGGCAATTCTGAACACTTTAGACAATCTCCCACTTTCATTCTAGTGGCTATTACAACAATTAGCATTTGTAAGAGTTATGAATTATTATGTATTATTTGTATGATTATACCTTTTTTTGCTACATGGCAAAGAAAGATATTTTCTTCATGATCAAGCAGCAATGATCCTAAAGTTGAGTTGATTTTTTTTGTTCTTTGAGCACATAATATGCTGTTTGTTTCCATCATTAAACTGTCACTACAACTGACAAGGTGACTTCCTTGGTGGCTGAGAGGTGGCTCTGAGGCTGAGAGTATGAAAACCAGAGATTCCTATTCAGATCCTAATCCTTTCCCAATTAGAATAGAATTGAAACACGTTAGGTGAATGATATACAGGGATCCTTATAGACTCTCTGCTTTCATTAAGAAATGATATAAATCACAATTTGCCATTTTATTGCTTGGAAAATTACAAAGTCAATAAAATTGTTTAAGAATTAAGAAAAACTCCTCTCATCTAATTAATTTTTCTTTTTAATTTGATTCCCACACCCTCCTCGTTGTCACTTCCCATATATCCTTCTCTCTATCTACAAGGTATGTTAAGGTTTATTTACTTCCTGATAAATCTCCTCGGAGTAAGCGGAAGACAGCTGTCAAAAAGAGCACAGTGGATCCAGAATTCAACGAAACTTTGAAGGTACTGTTTGCAATTGAGTGCCGCTAAGCGTGCTTTTCCATTGTAATCTCTCCTTTTGTAATGTACAATCCTGCAAATTCAGAATCCTCCTGACAGTTATTTGAAAAAAAATATGTTTTCCAGTCCAAATAAGAGAAAATGTTTTTGGAGTTGCAATAGTATATTGCAAACCATGAGAAGAATCTGCCTTTGTCCATGAAAACACTTCATGAATCCCAGTGTTGCTCTGAGTTACCTTGTGGCAAAAGCAAAGTGTCTTACGTAGACACTTTTTTGTACATTCAGGAACTGAGTGTCTTGCAGAGCAGTTAGTATTTTACACAAGTATCCCTTTCAGCTGATACCCCTTTTGTCAGTGCCACTGGGAGTGTCTCTCTGCAGCTGGCTGAATGCTAACTGAATTTCACCACCTCTAAAACACTGTCTGCTTCCTTTTCCCTGTGTAACTGGTGCCAGGCCGTCTCTTTGTAGTGTCTAATTTCAAACATTAATAACCCCACCAGAGAACAGTAGTTGTGATTTTAATTCCTTAATGCCTTGCAATATTACTTCTTGCATCCTTGTAAGAAGTGTGTGTAGAAAATAGGAGCCATTATTCTCACTTCTCAGGCACTTAATAAAATGTGAAGCTGAAGCCGAGTACTGTCAGCTGGGAGAGGCTGGATTAGTTTGGTTGTTCGCAGCTCCAGTTTTGTACTTAGATCACTACAAGCCCATTTTTTGTGTGCATCAGCAAGCTGCAGTAGCACACAAGATGATGAGTTCTTCAGTAACATGTTGTCTTGGAAGAGAGGTGAAACAAAGTTAATAGAAGGACGAACTTGTATTGTTGCTTCTTAAACTACACGAAAGTTGCAGTGTTACCCCCATCTCTTGGTGAGTATGAACATCAAGAATTTGTAGTGACTGAAACAGGCCAAATGTTTGAAAAGACCACTGTTAAAATTCGATAACAACAAAAAAAGATGTATGTAATTCTCATATAGCCTGAAGTCTGTATATAGGGCTTAAGTTGGGAGAAAAAGGAGCCTGAGGTTAGAATAACTGGTCCTAATTTTATAGTCCCTTTTCAATGCCAGAGTCATGCAGAACTGCTAAAGGGAGAGTGAGAGCCATGCCTGAACTGGCTGCACGAACACTAAAGGTAGTTTAGTTAGAAATCTTTTAAATTAGTTTATTTATTACTTTTTCCAGAGTAGCAGAAATAGTCAAAAGAGCATAGCACTAATGCAGGTAAACTTCATCATGGCACTAAGATCCAACTCAGTGGGATTCAGCTGCAAGTTAAGGCACCTGCATTTAGGTAGCTGCATGTGTGAGAGGTGTGCAAGTGCTCTTGAGAGTCACTGGAGCCCAGGGTGATCAGCCCCACAGCCTACGCCCAGCCTGTGACTCAGCAGCCTAAATGCAGGTAGCGGTGTCCTCGTCCGTGCCATCGCCTCCAGCTTTCAGCCCGGGTGGGTACAGGTCACCTGCAGGCTGGGTATCACGTTTGCCAGTCTCATGTGGGTATATTAGATACTCAACAATGTCTCAAAGGCTCTAAGTATGTTTTGGGAATGAATCAGGGCTTTAATTAGTGGTCAGCTGGGTTACTTCCTTGCCTCTTCCTGACCGCACTGCGTAGATGTCCCCTGACCAGAATGGAAGTTTTTACACCTTCATGAGGTGTCTTAATCTTGAACTGGCCTCCAGAGCAGCCTAATTCTACTGGGAGTGTAAAACAGAAACATAAAAAAACCCCAGCAAAAATGGTCAAGAATTATTTAAAGTTCTGAATTAATAAGCAAAATCTTTATCAAGGCAGGTCAAGGTATTCCTGGAATGTTGTTTCGTATTTGGATGAGCATCATTTAAGTAGTGAGGTGATAGGCAGATTGCAAAGCACATTCAGACAACACGGTTCTGTCGGGGTCCAGGTGCCTTCAGCCACGCTGTGGCGGGGCTTCCTTTGAGCAGGTTGTGAGCATGGGCCTGCATTCATCCTGACTGCTGCTTTGTAAATGCTGTTTATCTTTCTAGTACAAGATTGAACACTCCCAGCTGGGAAGTCGGCAGCTTCAGATCTCTGTGTGGCATGCAGGAGCGCTCAAATACAGGGTGTTCTTGGGGGAAGTGGTGATTCCACTGGCAGCATGGAATTTTGAAGAGAACTCGATGCAGTTGTTCGACTGGTACCAGCTCAAACCCAAGGTGATTCTTAGTTTTTGTGCTTAGTTGTATCTTAAGAGCAAGATGTAGTGAAACCTATGAAAAAGATCACCCTTCTGAGATCACTGAGGGAAAAATGTTGTCAGCCCGTTAGTAAGATGTGTTGCAAACATAAATAAGCTGTGAGAAAGATGTGGAATAGAAGGATTGCAGTAATGCAGATTTCTGTATGTCCCTTTCTTCAGCTTGAAAAGCCTGAAGATGATCTTATCCAGTACAGCGGCGAACTCCTCGTTTCTGCAAGACTGTCAGTACCAGCCCAGTATAAAAATTTCCAGTTTGAAGGTACAAAATGTTTCAGCATACATGAATCCCTTGGCAAAAAAAATAATTGAGATCAATGAAGGACTGACAATGTGTCCATATAATATTCCTGTATGGGATTTATAACAACTACTGCAATGGTGGTTTGTGGTGTACTGCATTTTAAATTAATTAAAATCCAGACATTTGACAACTTAATATTTTTGCTCTTACTAATGCCAATAACAGCTGCACATTATAATGGCAGCAGTATGATGCATCCAGCTGTTTGGCAAGCTTGTGCATGTCATAGTGTTGCCAGTAGGACCTTATTCTGGAGGTGATGCAGCAGTTTTACTGCCCAAGGCAGAGACTGCCAATTGAGGGAACAGGTGGAAGGGAAATGGCTGCAAGGGTACCAGACCAGCACCCTTGGCTTCCTCCAGTGGTCTCATCTGAGAGAGATTGTTTCACTTGGAAGATGGTGGGTTCGAAATGTACAGTCAGGATTCAGTTTTTGGTAGTGAAAGACTTGCAAGGTAGATGAAGTGTTGCTGTACCGTGTCAGAGCAAGCACCTGCTGGTGGAGTAAAATAAACACTTTGGGCGGGAGGGATAGCACAACCTCATTTTCCTTACCTCCCTAGATTATAGTGAAGTGTGCAGATATTCAGAGCTTTAGTAATGCTCTCTGTGTTCAGGACCATGGCAACAGGTAGTGACCAATAGGAAGATCTAATTAGCTGTTGGGTTAATTTTGTTCCCTTTTCTTTTCCAAAAGACCCCAAAGTTACCAGCTTGCTTTCTTCCATTTTCCCTCCCTGTGCATGCCTGTGTACTGGGTCTCTGCTCTATAACTAGAGCTGTAGCAGAGGAGCAGTATCAGACTGGGGGTTTGGCTGTTTCTTCTGCTTCTGGCTTTGTTTCAGAGAAATGCTCCCGTGGGTACTTCCCTGGGTTAATTTTCCACAAATAAACAGAGAGACTGTCTTTGGAACAGGATTCACAAAGCAATCTGCCACTTACTACTTGTCTGTGGTTTTTCTTTTTGTGTGTGAATCATACACTGTACAAGCAGGTTAAAAATCTTCTGCATAATCCTAATACAGTGTCACGATGTAAACCCAGCCAGCAGCCAAACACCACACAGCCGCTCGCTCACCTTCCCCCCACCTAGGGGATGGGGGAGAGAATTGGAGAGGTAAAGGGGAACTCGTAGTTTGAGATAAAAAGTTTAATAATTGAAAAAAAAAAATAAACCAATAGCAACAAGAGCATGTACAGACGAGTGATGCACAGTGCAATTCCTCACCCCTCGCTGACCGATACCCAGCCCGTTCTCAGCTAGCAATCCCCAAAACCAAGATCCCGCAGTCGCAATCCCAGAAGCAAGAGAGAACCCCCTCCTTCCTGGCTGCCCCTCCTTTATATACTGAGCATGACATTACATGGTATGGAATATTTCATTGGCCAGTTTGGGGCCGGTGCTCTGGCCGTGCTCCCTCCCAGCTGCTTGTATCCTGCGCAGGGGCAGGACATGGGGGGTTGGAGAGTCCTTGATCTCTGAGCAACAACTGAAAACATCAGTGTGCTGTCAGCATTCTTCTCATACCAGATCCCGTACTGAATCCAAATCACAGCACTGTTCTAGCTACTAAGAAGAAAAATTAACTCTATCCCAGCTGAAACCAGGACATACAGCGTTATGGGTCATCCTCCCTAGTACCACTGAGGCGTTTTCCTTTTTACTTATAGCAGCATCTAAAGCTATCAGCTGAACTAACTGGTTATTTCATGTAATAAATCCTCCTGTTTCAGGAAAAAAAACCCAAGGAGTTCCCAACTGCCAGCTTCAGGTTATGATATTTGGGGCCAAGAATTTGCCCGTGCTGAGATCTGTTGGAATGCCAAACTCATTTGTTAAAGGGTAGGTATGAGACCTAACGCTTCAAATAGAAAATGTCACACATATTCTGTGCAAATATACGTATTGGCGTGCTTTCATCTGGAAACTGGCATGTGAAAGTGGCACTGTCCACGCTCTTAGTCAGGCTTCCTTGTAACGGTGACATTTGGGTCACTCAGCAGGGTGGTGGTGGGTTCTGCCTGCTCTTTGGATCCTGAATGGAACATCAGAATTTACTGATGTAATTAAAATGTAGAGTTCCTAGTTTAAGTATCTGCTTTTAGATATTAGGTGAGAAAAAAAAGTGCAAATCAAGGGGGTGTTTTCTGTTTTCAGCTGTGCCTTTGCAGAATTAATTACAGCTTTGGATACATGGCAAAGGAAACTTTTATCCCCTTAATACTAGACATTTTAAAAGAGGAGGGACTGACTTTTTCTCCAATGCACTGAGTAGCTTGTATGTGGCATCATTTTACTTTCTTACTGTCAGGCATCAGCTGCCATTGGAAGTATGACACTGGGGTACACTCACAACATCTCATAGGGCCATTTCACCTGTGGCACCTATCTTCAGTGAAATGGGTGAGCATTTTATCTGCTGAAAGGCAGTTTTCAGGCAGTATTGGATAACAGAACGGGGAGTAAAGACTCCTTCAGCACTCAGTGACAGCAAAGGAAAAGCAGACCAGAAGAACTTACTTGCACCCACACTGAAGGCAAACAGGAAAAGGAGCCAGTCCCAAAATAAACACACTAGCACCATGTTCTACCTTGCACTTAAGCTGAACTTTTTTGGTATGTAAGGCAAACCAAAGGGCCCTAGCTGATTACTGCAAATGTTGCGTTTTCTAGTTGAGAAATCAATAACCTTGCTGGGCTCTCATTGTTTTGGGGAAGTTGTCTTACCCTTCCAGACAAAGCAGAGGTAAAGCGAAAGTCTCCTGTCCTGAAGAAAGAAGCCTGTCCCCAGTGGAGACACTTGTTTGTCTTTGATGGTGTTACCCCAGCTCAGCTACAGCAATCATGTCTACACTTGACTGTCTGGGACCAGTCAACTTTCAGCTCAAGTGATCAATTCCTAGGAGGAGCCAAGCTTGGTGCAAGTAAGTTCTTTATCACTAAGACTTGAAGGTAATTTGAGAAAAAGTTCATTTAGTTTACATTCTAAATAATATTTACACTTTGGTGTTTATTACCTGCTGTCATGTGCCTGCACACACAGCCCCAGCCCCTGTTCTAAGCCATCAGCAATCTTGGGCTTTGATCCTGCAAGAACGGATGCAGGTGTCTTAGTCCAGGTCTGTGCAGAAGCTCAGGGTTGTCAGTGGGAATTTTCAGGACAGCCATTTGTTAGCACGGTAACTTTCAGGGTCAGAGCCTGACTCTGCTAAGACAGGCACAGAAGAGCTGGGTGCAGTTAACTCATCTAGAACTCCACGTATATCTATTCAGACTTGTTCCTTCAGCTGTTTGTTTTCAATGAATTGGGTAATTTTAAATACTATCTCATCGAAAGGAAGCACAAGAATTAATGATCTAGTAGATTCCAACCTTGTTTGTGTTTGTCCTTATTATTTTACATCTGCAAATCAATCCAGCCAATGGGAGATATAGCAAGTGAAATTTGCTCAGAAGGGGCTATTGCAGGTCAGAGTTTTGGGCTCTCGTCTGACATAAGAGCAAGCTCTCTTTCTCAAGGCTGAGAAATTTGTGAGAAACCCTCTGCTCAGTAAGCCCTGTTAAACTAGTAGTTGAGCAGGGAAGCATTGTCACTCGAAGACTGCCCAGTGGAGTCTCTCGCCCCTGTCTTCCCAGAGAGTAAGTGCTTTAGTTTCAGTATTTGAGATGAAAGGCTCAAAAAGATCTGTCACTTCATTATGGCATCAGCGTGCCCTTTAGAGAACTGTTATCGCTAGTAATAACTCAAAAGCTGTGCAGGCTTCCTCATGAACTTCTTTTGATTTTCCTACCCAGCATTTTCCTTTCTGCTGGAGCAAGAGACTACCCAAGCCTTAAATCTAGTGATGCACTGAAGTCCCTGGAGATGAACAGAAGCAGGAGGCTTAGTGCCATTCTGCTATTATTAGTATGCACACGTGCTCCTCTGCTTTTAGTCATACAACCAAAAACTGCTGCAGGCTGAGTTCTTCAGGGAGTGATCCTAGTCCAACATCACTTAATTTACATTATTACGTAAATAATGCTTCAAAAGTATAACTACAATTTATTGCAATCAATGCCTTAGGAGCTACAGAAGAGCTGAAATTGCTGTAGAAGTGGGAGAAGCCAATTGCTTGTTACCTTGTCCGTTGGACCGTAAGTTGGGTAAGGCCAAGTGAAAAGTAACTGTGTGACCTTTCCTTTTGCTTTCTCGCAGAGGAATCATCTGGCTCTACAGACCTCGTCTCTCAGTCGGCGCTCCAATGGCAGGAAGTGCTCCGCAGTCCAAACGTGTGGACGGACTTCACACTTGTACTGCATTCAAATAAGGAAAACTTTAAATCATGAGATTACTGCACACCAACTTTTCCTTCCTTGTGTGTGATGTTTTAAATTCAAGTGGCACATACCTCTCAGGTCTGGGGAAAGATACACTGCAACAGTACCTACTCCAGCTTTTGGGGAATAGCGTTATGCATTTGAAAGTGTAGGATGTTCCAAAGGGTTTATTTCTCAAAAGGTTAAGGCTTTGTTATCTGTGTCTCTAGCTGGAGTATAACGTTAGTATTGTTGCTTCAGGAGTGACAAACTCTGTTTGAAATGCATTATGCTGACAAGGCAACAGTAGCCAGATGATACGCAGTTTTCCATTTCTGGGCATAGCAGAACTGTAATTATTTAATTTAATCACAGATAGGAATACTACTTCGAGAAAACAATTGTTACCTTAAGAAAGTTACATGCTTTCACTCAGATCTTGATGCTTTATATATGTTCAGAGAAAATTGCAAAGTAGCTTGCCTTTAACTGCTTGCTGCAGATGGATGATGTTAACACCTCTGTGCTTCAGAATTATCTACAGTGCCACTATTATTTCACACGACCCTAAAATGCTTTGGCCTGTGGCCACATGCCTCTCATACATGCTGTATCATGGTGCTTAAAACCAGTTAAATGTATAAATTGTCCCTTGTTATCAGCTGCTGATGTAAGATAGTATTAGCAGGTCTGATCCGTATAGTAGACAGCACAGGGTAGGAGTTTAGCAAAGGTCATCATTTATTCATGTGAACTGGTGGAAATGCAAGTTTAAGGCCCCACTACTGTCTCACAGTTCACTTTGCCTCATGCAGTGTTACAGCTGTAACTAGTGCTGCTGGCGCACACCTCTAGTCATTACAGCAAGCATTCTCCTTCCTTCCTTCCTTTCCAAGTCAACATGGCTTTTAAAAGGACTTAAAAGTTAGACACAGGGATTCACTGGCTAAGCTCAGGAGCTAGAAGAGCAGCAACACACCTTACACAGGAAACACCCCACACAAGAAACACTTGACTCCACGTCCTTTGTTACTTTGCAGATCTTTTATTTAGATGTTTGCTGCTGCAAATAAAAAAACCCACAAGATTCAACTCAAGTATAAAGCAGCATAGATGTAAATGGAAGAGAAGAGCTGACAACATACTGTATCTCACTTTCTAACAGATTTTCAAGAAAAGGGGGAGATTAGGGGAGAAGGAATGGTCACAGAAATGCTCTCTACTAGAGAGAATACAACTGTGATATAAACAAGCAGTCCCTTCATCTTTGGAGTCTGAAACTTTAAATCAAACATTTAAAAAAATTAGAAAATTTGTTAGAAAAATAGGTGCAGTAAAATTGTATATATTGGATCGTGTGTACATATAACAGTTTTCATTAAGTAAAAAAATGATCTTTACAAATAATGCTTTATAGCAAATAATCAGCTGCACTGTATCAGACTACAGTGTTGTTTAGGCATTTTTACAGACACAAGTCTTATTAAATCTGAAAAGTAACAAAATATACAGAGCAAAACTACTTCCCTTTGAACTAGTATTGCAATCCACATATTGCATGGTTTTTTAATATATATATATATAAATACTACACTATAACTGATCAGTAATAAAGCTGGAATGCAAACACAGTAGTGTATTAGATTCCAACACAGTATTTGCCTAGTAGTTGCATGAGGAGGGTATCGGTGTCCCTGTGCCGCACTCCTGAGCCACTGCTGCAGAACTTCTCCAGTTGAGAACATCAACCAGAAAAAGCATAATTTCTACACAAAGTAGTTCTGAGGTGTTGTCAGTTCTTTTTTGGGGGGCAGGGGGAGGAACACAGGGATCAAGACCAAATAACAAAACAGGGTGTACAAACACATGTGCACACGTACATACGTACAGGCGCTTGCAAATCCTGAGTTCTAGAGCCGGTCGTCTCAAAGTCTCTGTTAGACTTTACACCGTAACTAATAATACAAAGGCATATGGCACAAAATTCACCCACAGTTGCTTATTTTTAGACTAGGCTGGATCCAGCACCTGCACAGGACACATCTTCAACTAGAAGCACGGCCTATTAAAATTTGTCTTGCTTAAAGAGAGATGTGACATAAGGCCTTTTGGCACTAAGCAAAGGCATGAGCAAGTCACCAGGATCAGTGGTATGATGAGTCTTTAACTATACCAGATTTAATAGAAGGTATGGAATAAAAGGGAGATTCAAACACCTCTGGGTTTAGAGAACATTTAAGTGTCATACAGTGACCCCTCCTCAGAGAAAAAAAAAAAAAACAAAAAAAACCAAAAAACAAAACAACCAAAAAACCAACAAAACAAACCCCACAACAAAAAAAACCCAAAACAAGAACACAGCATTAAGATCTGCCTTTCCCACAGTCCTGCCTTCTTGTTACAAGCGTCATTACATCGCCTCAAACTCATCAATCCTCTGCTTGGTGTTGCCTTGCCGGATCTGCCGCAGCGTCTTGTACTTGTCACGTCCCTGTCGCATGTTCTCTGAGTGGATAATATCATTGTGGGTTCTCTTGTTTTCATCTCTAGCCTGGGCCAGCTCATCTGTCAGCGCCTGCAATATAAAGAACATTAAATACAGATCATATCTGAGAAGCTCTCAGCTCGTGCCAGTAGTGTTCTTCGGGGAGAGCTGACAGATGACTGGACAGCTCAGTGATACGGATACAGCATGCGCCTCCCATAAACACTGTGGACGATGCAAGTGATGTCAAAGCCTGAGCAATGACAGTCATCTTTTTATGCCTTGTCTTTATTTCAAACTGCCTACAGGATCTGTAAACGAGAAACTATCACGCTTTGTGTGCTTAACCAAGTGGTTAGGGTTAGATGATCTCTTTTCCAGGAACGCTCATTCCGATTACTCCGCCTCCTCCAAACGTTGCCTTACCCTCAGCTGCTGCTGTACCCGCTCGTTCTTCTCTGCTTCAGTAACGCGCTTCTCCTCGTTGCGGTCGTTCCTGATCCCCTCGCTGGAGAGCTCGGCGCTGTAGGCGGGGTACTCTGATCCTTCATCTTGCAAGTTATCGTGGACGTGGTAGTTCACTGGCTCGTACACAGGTGGTGGGGGTGGAGGCGGAGCAGTCATCACCAGGTGTAGCTCTTCCTTTGTCTTTACCAAATCCTCCTGGGCTTCCTTGGCCTTTGGGAAAAGAACGAAAAATATTTTAAATGCGTTTCTTGCTTCAAACCAGCTTAATCAACACTTTAATGCTTATCTTCCCCATTTTCCCAATCTACTATGAAAAGCAAGGAAGAGGGAATTAAATCTCTGCAGGTGACAGTACTCTGTCACAGTCTTACACAGAGGATTTTTTTTTTTTTTTCCTTTTTCTAGCAATGCTGTCACCACCCACTGTGTAACACGAAGGGAATCCGAACAAAGAATCTTCTTCCAATAAAACAGACTCTAGGAAAAATAGTTCTGTGGAAAGCTAGTTGTCTTCATCCTGTTCTCCATTTGGAGAGCTGTAGTCTGTAAATATGGGTTCCAGAGAGCAAGAACTGAAATTCCCAAGTTGGCACTTTTACCACTACTGGGCAGTTGGCTTCCTCGCTGCTTCAGCGGTTCTGCCCTCCCCCGCGGTCTGCAGGGGGGTCCAGTCAGGGGCCACCGGGAGCACCAGGCACCCCGAGCCCTGCATGGTTTATTTTTGGTTTTAGTGCATCAAATTATTAATTTCTCCCAACCCAGGAAGCCACTGACAGCACACTCTCCTCAGGACTGGTACCTGCAGCATGGCTGCATTTGCAGCATCTTCTCTTGACTGATGTAATGTTTTCAGACATTACATCATGGATTAAATTCATTGTTTATACACGCCCCCCCCCCCCCCCCCCAGCTCCAAGATGACTATCACATTTTTAGGCTTTTATACAGGCTTCCAGTTGGAATTTTGACTGAATGCTTGTTGGAAGAAAGCTGTTTTGCAGGCACATTGCACATTCACCACAAGCCCGCCCTTCTCTGCTGGTCTCTGGAGATGTTGGTCTCTGCATGTTTAGAGAAGTCGCACCAGGCTGAGCACCACAGTTTGCTCTGATCAAGTGCAGAGCTTCACAGCCACTTTGCAAAGCAGATACTCACTCTGATCTGCCACTCTTCAACCTCGCTCTCTTTACGCCTCCTTGCCTCTTCAAGAAGCGCAATCTTGGCTGTATACTCTGCCAGCTCTGTAGCCTGTTGAATAATGGAACTGGAATTATAAGGGCTCTTAAAAAAAAAAACAAAACAAAACTATCAAAAAATGAAACGCAACAAAGAAGCACTGCTGACTCAGAAAAAACCCAAGTGTTACACTCCACTGTAATAAAGACTGACTAGGAAATTAAGAACAAAAAGTAGATTGCTCATGATAGAAACCAGTGCCACAAGGATGCTATCACACAGTCTAATACTTCACTGCACTGTTTTTCCCTGGAGAACAAGGCTTCGCCTTACTCCAAGGGTGCAGTAATGTGCCTTGTGTATCTTATCCTGGGTCTTACCAACTGTTCCTGGCTCTTTATCTGGTCCATAGTTTGTCTCTCCAGCTCCTCCTTGGCCTGCAGAGCAGCCAAACGATCAGCTTCCAAGCGTTCTGCTTCCTCCTGCGCTCGTCTCCTTTCCTCCTCCAGCTGAATGGCTCTTTGGATCTGATCTGAGAGCTCTGGGAAAGGACGGATCAATGTGGTTAGTTCACAAGCCTGGCCAAAGCAAAAGGACTATGGACAGTCTCTCAGGTAGCTACAGAAGTCACAAAAAGCACTTTACTCCAGCTTGCAATGTCCCCTCACTGCACACCTCAAAGTAATTATTTGCATAATGCATCAAGTAACTGAATTCAGAAGTAGTCAGCTGCGCATTATAATTAAATCTTCTGCAAGAAATCTGAAGTCTGCAACACTGACAGGATTCTGCTTCCCTTAATTGACAGTTTACTGCAAGGACCAGATGTTGCTGCTTCCAATCTGCTCATCTCCGCACTGAAATAAAAGCTGCCATTTCACTGGAAAGACTTGTTCCCCATGTACTCTTTCTGTTAGGAGTTAAGTAAAAAGTACTTGAGAGCTGACTCACTGCTGGAGAGGCTGTACTCCTAAAACCCTCTTGGCAACAGGGGAAACCAGAGTTTGTGCCACTCGGTTCCCAAATACAAATCGGCAGATTTTATGCTACTTTCGTCCTTTGGATGCTCTCAGCAGTGTGTGCACATGTGAGTATTTATCCACACAGGCAGATATCAGTAAGCCTTGCCAAGAGATCCCAGTGTCACCAGATTTAGACCAGGCGTAGGCAGCGACCCATACAACCAATCTAGGGAGCACAGTACACATGGGCTGGCCAGCCAGGGCAAGTACTTTACCTTTCTCTGCTTTCTGAGTCTTCACCTCATACTCTTGTAGTCTCACCAGCAGCTCTTCCTTCTCCCTCAACATTTGCTCTTTCTCCCTCTCAATTGTCTCCCTCTTCTTCTTTTCATTTTCTAGTTGTTGCCTGTTAGAAAGAGATTTCATGCTTGAAGCTCACTTTCGGACCTGAGCTACAGCAAGGCAGGAAAGGCGGCTGGCTGGGCGCCTCTCCCAGCGGCTCAACGGCAAATGACCACCACACTACAGACAGACATACAGCCTGTTCCCCCATCATTAACTTTTGCTCAGATTTGGATACCCCATTTCATAAAAACATTTGCATTTTTGTTGCCTGCCACAGAAATTTAGAACACCAAATAGCTGCTGGATGCAGAGAGAGAAAACCAGGACTGCGCACTGCACTGCAGCGGAGATTTGACTTTGTTACTTCTGTCAGATGGAAAGTCAACGAGGTGTAAAAACAAGAGCACTGAGGGAATGGAGACAAACGAGCCACAAATACAGGAGGAAAAGCAATGTGATTTTTGGATCATAAGCAACCTGCAGCCAGTGGTAGCAGTCCAGTGGAATTGCTAAACCTTTTTCCTTGCCTGTAGGAGGTCTCCCACCCCCTCTTCTCTCTTCGCAGTGTGCACACACATGCTCCCTGTGAAGGTTTCTCCCTTACTCCCAACCATGCCGGGGTCCAACACATAAATCAGGTCCCAACACTCAAGAGTCAGGAGAGCCACTCTCTAGGTGCGTGCCACCACACAAGAACCCACTGATCTTTTACTTGCACGTTTCCCTCTGACTCTCAAGACCGCAAACCGGACGGCAGACTGCACGGCCACAGGTCCGAGCGACAAGAGCAATGCTTACAGTCCCGCTGCAGGACACCCCGTGGCCCGCCCCGTAAGCTGGAGCTCCGGGCCCCCCCGGGCCCCCCCACACCCCTTGAGAACGCGGGACAGCTCACGGCCCCGCCTAAGCGAGACCCTGGTACAGACGCTGCGCTGCCGGTGCCGCCGCCGGCCGAACCCCGCCAGTCTGGTGTCGGTTACCTCCGCGCCCCGGCCCCGCCGGCTGTGCGCAAGCTCACCTTTCCAGTTGTTTCTGGTGCTTCTCCTCCCGGGCCTGGGCTTTCATCTGCTGCACCTCAATGGTGTCGGGCTTCCTGCGCCGCATATACAGCTCATGGTTGCCCATGCAGAGCTGCAGGATCCTCTTGTTAATTCTCAGACGAGGGGCGTAAAACACAAAGTCCTAGAAGAGAGGCACCACGCGGTCAGTTTTCTCTTTTCCCGGCTAACTACAGACAGATCACCTGGCCACTAATTTCACTGCAATCAAGACATACAGGCAGGCCATTTAAGTATAGCAGCAGGGACTACCAATATCATCTGAAGCTAAAACAACTGTTACCTGTATTCTCCATTTAAAGTCTACATAGACTTGACAGGTTTCTCTGCTAGAGAAAGCATCTTTTAGAGAAAATTAACAATCTCCATTTAGAGGAGACCTTGTGGAGTTTGGAAACGTTACAGAAGATTCTGGGTTGACAGGCAACTCATAGACCTCTAGTACTGAGTAAGTAGTGTTTAAGTTTGCATGGTTTTGTGACTGAAAGATAAAGCATGAAACTAAGCGTATCGCAGACTATTAAAGTAACTTTGCAGATTTTCCTGGTCTATTTGAATCAATATTCAGTCTACCATCTGGGGTTTTTTCAGATAAAGAAGAAATACTTTCCAGTATCATTCTTTCCTCCTCATGGCATTTCCCAGTTAAGTTGACCTAGCCTGTTACAAGAGTGTCAAATGAAAGCTATTTTTTTTGAACCACTAAACATACCAGTTAATTTGAATACTGGGTTGCAGGCAGTAACAAAACAGAAGATACTCCAAAATTTCTGGTTCAGCATAAAAGAACAGCCCCAAATTTCTTACTATCTGTGTTATAACCAGGCTTTTACAGAACGCTTAAACCAGGCTGGATCTTCTATAAGTAAATCTGCTAAGAAAGGGATAGAGGGCCAAGCTCATTACCTGCCTAATGCTTTTTTCCCCAAGTCTACAACCATACATGTTTACAACACAGTCTGAACTTACGCAGTATCTTAGTGCCTTTTTTTGTGCGCTGTGTGGATGATACGGGCAGTGGGCAAATTGCCACATTACCACCATCAACCAGTGCCCCTTCCTTAGAACCACTCTCCCAGGGATTGCCTCGCTGTTAGCCAGGGGCGGAACTGAGAAGGGACACACAGGCTCTGCACTTGCGCGTGGCAGCAGCGATCATGGTTTTAATTGCCTGAGCTCAGAAGCACAAGTTGTGGCTATCTCTGGGAAAACTGGAAGTCACACAAGGAGCAATGAAAAGCTCTCCAAGTACCATTAGAATGAACACACACATGCTGACAAAGATTTGTTTTCTTCAACACATTTTCCCAGCTCCCACACCACCTGCAAGAGGCAGTCAGCGCGGCGTGTTGTGCTCCCCTGCCAAATCCTGCCAGAGCTGTTCCGAGCTGTACAGGGCAGACACTGCTAACTGTACCTGTAAGCTATTCGTCTGACCTCCTACTTCTGACAAACAGTTGTTAAAAAAGTTTGCGTAGATTCTGATGAACAGGTCCCACCCTGAGGCAAGGTTCACTTACATGGAAGTAAATACTGAGGGCATGGACAGTGGTTGCATTTGTCATTTAAGGCCATAACCAAGGGCCAAAGCACTCACATAAAAGAACATAAAAGACTCCCCTCCTTTTCTCATCCCCAGCCTCCCCCTGGTCTCACACAACTGGGAACATGGCAGCTTGACATCTTAAAGATAACGTGCTGAAGATGTTGGAGCGTGTGGTCAAGCAGGCCTAAAATTAAAGAGCTTGTTCTGGGCAAGGTGCCCCAGGACTCTACCCGTTACATTAGTGTTCATTTAAACACTGATGTGTAGAACCCTCCAAATTAAAGGGAGCTTCCATCCCACATCTTGGGTGGGCTGAGTGTTTTGCTGTAGTTGTAACACCTGCCTTTTAAAAAGGAGACACAAGCACATGAAAAGACTCAGGCAACTTCCTGAGTGCTCAGAATTAAGTGTCCAGATAAATTCTTCTTTCAGGCAGAGCTTTAAATGTATCACCACCCATAGGGAAAAGGACAACTGACACAGAGGAAGGAAACATAATTGAGGCTTTCAATGTTAACACCTTTCTGTATCAGCCTCTTGCAAGTCTCACATTTCAAACTCAGATTTACTGTTGGGCAGTGGATGGAAAGCTGTGATCCACAAACAGGGGATGAGTATTTCGGAATGTGTACAACGTGTCCAAGAAGCTCTTATATTGAGAAAAGCAGGCCTGACAGAGCAGCTTCCTATCTCTGTGGAGTTTTCTTGCCTTTCACTAACAGCACCACAGAAGGAAGCTCCTCTCCCCCCAGAACCCAGGTTGCTATCTGGAGGAAAGTCCTGCAGTACACTGTGCATTAGTGTCCTTTAAACTACTGGAAGGATCTTTTGCTGTTAAAGAGATTTATAAGCCATCACTCTTTGCCGAAGCCAAACTGCTTATTATTTCTCAGGGCTGTACTTACCCACCAAGGCCAAGCACTGGGGTGGGGGAAGAGAAGAGGAGGCCTTTCTCAACTATTCCAATAGTTTCACAAGACTGACCGAATGAGATCCACCTATACCAGTTATTCCACTTTATGTTCTCAACAGGTCAAAGTAAGCTGCTAATTCTTCATTAAAATAACTCTGAAAATATGTTTCTAAGTACCGAAAAGCAACATTCACAGGTAGCCAGATTTCAGTTCTCCTCAGAAATCACATGCCTGCCATTTACCCTAGTACTCAAGGTCAGTGAATACCCACGGTCCTTAACTGGCTTTTACTCTTTCAGTAGTGTGGAAATGAGCATTGAGATAGGAAGCCATATGCATCCACGTGGTTTTGCAGTAGCATTTGAATGATTTCCGTGTTTTTGTTGTTTTTTTATTTTTTGTTTGTTTTGTTTTGTTTTTTTGTTTGTTTGTTTTTTTGTTTTTTTGTTTTGTTTTGTTTGGTTTGGTTTTTTTTTTTTTTTGTAATGAACAACAAAGTTACCCACCAGCTTCCATGCACTGAAAGAAATGGGGAGAAAACTAGTCTCGGTATAATTTGGCTGCACAGAAGACTCGCAGAACTAGAGAAGAATCGCCGATTCAAACATAAGGGAACCTAGTTTGCTACAAAAAAAGGACTCTGCAGATGTAAAATCCTTGACTTTCTCCATTTTAGATATCACCATATGTCCCTTCATTTAGGTTGCACAGAAAACCAGACAGCTCTAAATACCTGGGCGTATGTTACATCTAGAACATCTGCAGCTTTCTCCTGTCTAAAGACTACTTTATTTTGAGAGGAAACAGTACTAGTTGTTAATACGCAGTATCCAGGAATCTGTTCTAGATATACTTACCGGTGCCTTCTTGTCAATAGGCTTTATAACAAACTTCTTGTCATTGAAAGAGATGTTTCTGATTTCGCTCCAGGGGAACCCAATCTTTGGAGTCAGCCTGGAAAGAAGACAGATGTTTTTAAGACATGCTGCAATGAACATTTTTTCCTCCATGTTGCTTTAACACACAGACTCGTCGGGATGCAATGCTTTACACAGCTTTCCCAACAGAGAGAAGACAGTATTTCAACCAAAACCCCACAGGGAGTAGGAAAATAAGCCCAGTCACCTCCTTTACAGCATCTTTTCTTATTCTGGTCAGCCACCCTACTGACCTTTGGTTATGCAACAGGGGCGGTATCTACTGAAGCCACACACTCAGCTTTACCAAACACCTGCTTTGAGATAATTTCTTTGAAATCAGGGCCTAAAATCTGCAGTGTGCAGACTTTAGACACACGTGCTGTGCTTCCTGGAGGCTTCTCATACATGATGGGAGGTGTAAGTCAAAGTAACTGAGCCATTCCCCACACCTTCTCGCACGCAGAGAGACTACCCTGCTGTGTTACAGCTAGCCCAGCTACCTCCATGCTGCCTTCACTTCTGAAGTCAGGGGCAAGCACAAGCACAATTGGTAGAAGGAGATTTCTTGTCTTTTGTTCCCTCCCCTAGAGTACAGGCAAGGCTAGTAACAAAGACCCCCGTTCCTTCCTTCCATGCAAACTGCTCTTTCAGCCCATCCCACTAGTCACCAAGTAGAACTTTACATGTTGGTTGTGCAATGAGCTGCACCATGTGGCACTCTCCTACTGGAGAGCATCCCTACGAAGCAAAGGACAAGATTCAGACTCCCAGCTCTTCCTTGCTGCTTAGGAGTTCAGGTTCTGTTGGTTTATTTAAAATTACTTTAAGTTTCACTAATTATTTGATATTTTCCTCTGCTTTAATTTCTCCAGACTCTTGCATATAGAAAGAATCAGGTTATTCATGAGATCAAATGTTTCCAAGCCATTCCAGTACTTCGCCCTTACATACCTGCCCAGATCTGCAGCAAGTTCTACTATTACAAAGACCTGAGTATTTGATTGTAGCTAGTTCCTTTACTTCCCCCCAACCAAATATTTCAATTTTTACGTTTAACATCACATTATTATTCTTTTATTCGTCTCTTATCAAGGGAGGGTATATTTTCTAGTGATAACAGCTAACTAATAAGAATTGTGTCTCACAAACGATAATACCAACTATCAACCTTGTTATTATCTAACCCCTCCAATACGTGTGTCTGCCACACTGAAGTGCTGACAATTATTTCTAGAAAACAGTTTGAAGACACAAGTATTTAATGTTTAGCACTTGGAGAAACATCTATTATCACAGTGAACCACTCAAGCTCTGCAAGAATCCTTTCTATGGAGCACATGTGTTAAGGAAAAAAGCTGACAGTTTTGGAGGAATTTGATTCATCGTCATAGAGATGGAAAGCTACTACATAACATGATTTCACCGGCCCAAGGATAAAGACAACTTGTTTTGTTTAAAATCAGACAGCAAGAATAAAATACTACCTCTTCCGAACTTACCATTCCCTAACCTTTAACTCAACTGCAAGATTATGCAATAGTGTGTGTGTGTGTGTGTGTAACATTAAGAAATGTAAAGAAAATTATTTGATTAGACTAAATTAACTAATTTCTGCAGCCCATGTCATATTAGATTAAGTGTTTCAACCCTAGATAATACACTACGACAACTAAAATTCACTTATTAATAAGCTCAATTGCAGATTCTCCTCTAATGCAGAGCAACAACAAAAAGCTTACAAATACCTAGAAGTGGGACACTGACATACACTGCAGTATAGAGGGTCACACACTCATAGCACGGTCTCATTTTCCTCAGGTTGAGCTTCAACAATTAAATCCTTGCTTTTTTACCTTTGCCTCAGTCCCCAAATTTTGCACATATAAACGAGAGACAAGGTATACATTACTGTTTTTCTGGTCCCTGTATCTGCTCAAAATGACATAGCAGCAAGAGTTACAGCAGAAACAAGCAGTTTATTCCAGCACTGTATTTGTTTTGCAAACGCTCTTGATAGCTCTTTACAGTCAATGGTTATATTCTGTCTGCTTCTGCAGCTCGAAAAACCTGTTTGTGTGACCATGGTTACATAGCAAGACTAGTCATTCAAGACTGAAGTATTACATGAGCGAAACTACTTTTCTTTCAAGTGACACTCCTTGTTTTCTGGGTGACAGCACATATTAGCATTGCAGAAAAGACTGCATTTCTCTTTGCCATCTTAACAGAAGCTCCAGAGACTTCCAATTAATATTTGGGTTGCATTCAAAGCCTTTTGGAGGCAAAGTTGTAGAACAGGTGAAATCCCTTCTGTATAACAAGTCTGTTATAGATTAGTGACATGAAACCAAGACTTGGAACATAGGGTGGGGGGGAGAAGGCAGTCTAGATAGCAACCCTTCATCTAAAAGATGCCTATTTTAACTCCCCTTCAATCCTTCAGCTGTGGAGTACTAGAAGAGACTAGCAGGCTTAAACAGAGCTGTTCTCACCTTCCTTTTATGTTTATTTATAGATGTAGTCTATCATTTCCCACCTACTATCCAATTAATTATGTCTCTGCCGTTGCCAGGGCTGATTAAAACTGCGTATCTCAGCAAGACCTCATTTCATACCTCATTCACAGTAACTATATAGGTTAGCTCCTCCTTGGGTTCTGGGTGTTATCCAGCTTTGGTTTCATGTCCACCCCATAATCTTTTTCAAAACCAGACAGTTGTACACACATCTATCATTAACTTCAGTACCGGAATGGCCTTAGATGTCCACTCTGCAGATATGTTAGCCTACCTAGGGTCTCATATGGTATCCACTGCTGGCATACCTGGCAACCTGACTCAAGGAAAAGCTTGGTAAACTCCATAGTTCAGGGTTCAGCTCTACGACTGTGCACGATTTACCAGATGGCCTAGTACAACTGACATCTCTTTTTATACAGTAGGTAGCATTAGCAGGTCAGGCTACAAAGGTTAGGAAAGTCCTGAAAGCATAAGTGATGTGAAAGCTCATTTCCTAACACAGCTTCACCTACTGATCTAAAACTGGAACACAAGCAAGTTCTAAACTTTGCCCTGATCCTGTAATAAGAAATGGCCCCTGGCTTCCAAACTAGCTCTTGCTGTGGGAGATACAGAGGTGAAAACAAAACCCTTACTTATCATCCTTTTCATATATGTTGAGCCCCAAGGCATCAACCCCCAGCCAAAGGTCAGTTCCTTTCTTATTCTTGATTTCAAAGTAGTTGATTCCATACATCTCTAGGTCTTGGGCAATCTTCAGGTATTCCAGCATGGCATTCTCTCTGGTTGAGACAGGAAGGAGAGCAGATGTTAGCTTCTCATTTATCTGATTATCTCAGAAAGAACAAAGCCCTCAGAAGATACAAGTAACTCTTCCTAAACCCACACATCAAACAGAGGAGTTAAAACTGAACGTTCACCATTTGGGATTCACTTTAAAAGTTATGATATTACACCTGTGAACACACACACACAGAGTACTCCCATTTACCAAGCCCTAGTATTTCCAGACAGAAAATTAGCAACATTCACCTCTTGGCATTCATCCTTGTCTCAGGGGACAGTCAGCAGGAAAGATATAGTATCAGAACTTTCCCCATCTGTCAATGCAAATGCTTCAATGAATGTAAGGTTAGACGTACACCTTTACTTTTTATCTCACTCAAAGCCATTACTGACACACTGTACCTAGGTCCAGGATCTTCAAGGTACCATCCGAGACACTGTTCTCGGCACCAGTGCAAACACCCTACTGAGTTTTACCATGTGATTTGATGCCGGACTGAAAAATATACACCAAGAGTTTCCCCACACAGGCAGCTCTTGGAGTCTATTTCAAAAACATGTTGCAGAACCGCAAGCTTAAGGTCAACCACCAGCAACAACGTGACCAGTCTAAGAACCAATACAAAACACTTACTTGAGCATACCACTGTGCTCAGCATGCCACACCTGAATCCGTTCTTCCCACTGCTCTCTGGAGAGTTTATGCTGGTCCATCACCCTACACAAGGAAAGGCATATTAGCAAGATCAGACTATGTTCTGCAGCATCGGTCGATGTTGATCTTTGCTGTAGTCTTTCTGAAAAATTAGTCCCACCCATGAAGCCTTATTGAAGCCAAAGAGGAAGAATCCTACTCAGCCCAAAGGTGCACTCTTTGAAGCAGAGCAATTAAGAACGAACAAAAACCCTCTGCAAAGCCTTTCTGGTTGCTGACCAGAGACATGAGAGGCGTAAGCAGAACGCTGCAGAAGAAAAACATACACACTATAGACACCAGAGAGTTAAAGCAAAGCACAGGTTGGTGTCATTCCCGGAATTAGACACTGCTGCAGAGTGTCATCAGGAAGTGTAAACAGAAGCCATTTGTCTGAGAACATACACTTATCCTGTGTGGGGATAGACTGTGTGGCCTCAAGACATGCTTTCCAGATACAAGATGTTTAGGGTTGTACCTAATCCTAATGGACTAAGGACACGTAACCCAAACTTCTCCAGGGATGACACATTCTTGACTGAATGCTACTCTTCTTAATGAGAAGACATTTGTACCACCAGTTACCAGCATGGCAATAACATTTAGGAAAGAAAAGCTGAATTCAAAAGCATACATTGTCTGCCTAACCAGCCGAAGGAAAGACCACAAAAAACATACCCTAATAGGACAAAAATAAAAGAAGGAAAAACCCAAATGTGTATAAGTTCAATAAAAAAAAAAAAAAATCATGCTTTTAGTGAAATTCTTTGTATTTAACTAGAATGCAAATTCTTGCCTTAAAAAGACAAAACAAAAAAAAAAAACAAAAAAAAATATGGGAGACTGCACCAACCAACTCCTTCACCTTTGTGGGATCAGACGCTCTGAATTGAGGTATCCAGGCTTGTGCAAATCTTTGTTGTAATCTCCAAACTTGGCCTGCACAGCGTATGAGCCAAGAAGTACTGCTGTTTCTGGAGGACAGTAGATCTCATCACTGAGGATCCCTTCCTTCACCTGCAGGAAGAAGAGCTTCTGCGTGATGTCCTGGATCAGCTCTTCAGCCACATCCTCTGGGAAGAACTTGGCACGAAATTTGAACTGGAGGGGATTCTCCTTTCTGATTTCTTGAGCAGAAACCTGAGGACAGAGGTGATGCCACAACTGAACTGGGTTGTAAACAATAGAATATTTTATTTTTTTTTCCTCTGTGTAAAAGCAAAGTATTTGGGGCATTTGTATCAAGAGATGAGTGACTGGCAACTCATTATTGGAATTCCTTAATTCTGGCTGCTTATTAGTATGAGAACACGGGGAAAACACGTTACGTTTTTCACCTAAAACAGTAAAATTCTGTTAGCACAGCAAACCTTGGTCACTGAAGAGTGATTTACCATGCTGTATCAGATGGCAAACCCATCCAGCACTGTATGTGTTTGACAGAGAACAGCCCCCTGATATTAAACAGGTATGCCACTGACTGCCCCATGAAGAAAAACAGCTCATACCCTCGTAAGAACTGCAAGTCCACAAAGAAGACCATCAGCACTTACAACTGCCCAGCCTTGCAGTGGCCTATCTTTCCGACTAGCGCAATAATTGATCCTACGCAAGCAGAGACTAAAACCATCACTGGCCAAGATGTTCCTCCAGTCACAGCAAGAACAGCTGCTTGTACCCAACAAAGTAAAAGATCAAGCTGCTGCCATACATCTGACATGCTATAAAGCTTTCTACAACTCACACAGAGAGAAAGGGCAAACTTCCACCATGCCACACCTCACCGAAACAGTTCCCATGAAGGTCACAAAGTTCTCTCTAAGAATAATCCTGGAGTTATGAGAATTAAGCAACAATTAACAGCAGGTACAAGGTTTATAAAGTTGCAGCCAATAACACATTAGGAATCATGTAAGCTTTAACCTTTGTTCAGCAATTAGCCCGAAGTCTGTTACCTTTTTATCAAGCTTCAGCCAAGTCTGGAATCCTTTGTTGTCCACATACTGAAGACCAAAGTACCACACTTCTCGCAAACCTATGGTTTTAACCACCTGCAATAGAAAAGTCAAAAAAAAAATTATTGTAGGTAACAGTCCGTTGGAGTATCCTCCCAAGTCCCCCATCACCTGTGGGTGCATGCAACAGCCTAAACCTACTCATCTGGCATCTCTTCATTTCATCTTGTAGACAAAGATACACAGCTGCTATAGTAGATGACAGCAATGGCACGGGGGAAGCTACTTGTCCCACCCAGTTCCTAGGAGAAGATGAATCTGGGCAAACTGGGAGAGACAAATGGGGCAAATGACAGGCCACCAACTGCTGGACTGGGGCTTCTGCTTGCTTCTATCTACTGTCCCTTCTTAAAGCCATACTTGGGGAAGCAGACAAGTTACTTCTCTTACCAAAGCTTATGGTGAGATGGTCTGTAATGGTGTTAGCACTAACTACAACTAGTTAACAGAACTAATGGCTCAAGTGATCTTGTCTGCCAGTCACCAAAGATTATTTTGCTGGAGGAAGCACCTGAGGGATGTTTCACACAGCTGCTGCAGTAAGCTCCCTGGGCAGTTTTGAGAATTGTATCATCAGCCAAGGGTATTATTTTTTTAAACTCACATAAAGGCTGGTTCTGAAGGACAAAAATATATCGATGCCCCAACATTGGGACAAATTTCATTTCATATATTGTAAAAAGTAACCAGATGAAAGATCCAGAAGCACCATCTGTTGACTGGATGGCACACTTACTACTGAAAATAGTCCTGTTTGGACACGTCCCTCTTCCTCAATGGAGGAGACAGACTAACAAATTCCTGACCTCCTCCTACACTTGACTGCTTGTTCTTACAGCCCAGTAGCTTGCTGCCAGATCATCTACCTGTAAAGCTGTGCTGTAGACAGAGCTGAGATCTGGAAAGATCTACTACATACACATCTGGATCACTTCCTTGATGTTATTTGCAGAGTAGCCTGTCAAAAAGTGATGTAGGCATCACCATAGGAAGCTGAACTGAGTGAAAGGCAAGAGCTTTTCAAAACTACTTTGCAAGTTAAGCAAGAGCAACAGATTAGGAAGGTGTAGTTATACGTGCTTCGACAAGTCTAAGGTCTCAACCAAGGATCTACTGCATCCTCCTCATTTATAGTATTGCTGGAGACAGTCTGGCTGGAGAGCAGACTTGAGCGACAATGATTTTAGGATACTTAATTAGTTTTTGCTCTAGTTTCCCTTAAATTTTCTTACTGGTGAACTAGAAGCCGGCAGTATGCACCGGGAAGCCAGAGCTTCCTGGGTTTGGTAAGGGAGATAGGGAAAAATGCATCATTCTGATTAGCACTCTGAGAATTACTGTTTGTGTGACATTGTTGAATAATAGGCAATCTCTAGAGTTCAGTGATATAAGCAGACCAAGAAAGTTGCATAGTAGTATGAAAAATGTCACTAAGCAAATATAACTTTAAAAGGATAAAGAAGTTAGTGCCTACTAGTTGAGGAAATGGGATAGCTTCATAGCTAGACACTGGGGGCTGTACTCAATAGGCTACAGTTTATATATGTTATTTCAGTAGGGCCATAAGTTACTACTAACCAGAGTTTGTTTGTTTTAGTTTTGTTTTAAACAAACAACCTGACAAGCAAAAAAACCCAAACCCCACAAATTTTTTGAGAAGAGCCAGCGTCTGAAAATACTTCAGCCTTTACTTGATTAAAATTCCTTTTCCCTGCTCCCCCAGAGTGGCTTGCTTCACCATAGAACAGAGAAGTTTTCGGATGGCTAGACATATTTTTAGAAGGGTCAGAACTGGGCTTTACCCAGTCTAGCAGAAAAGCAGGGGTATGTTGAGAGCAGTACTTCCTGTTGCACAAGTGTGTGTTGCAACTTTGTTAAAATAAGAGAGTTGCATAAATCAAGCAGTTATCACATCATTATCTCCGAATGACTCTTACAACAGAAAAAGTACACTTTTTCTGTAAATCAAGTTAGAAAGCTTGCAGAAGTATGACCCCTCAAGTTCTTCCCAAAGCCTAAAGGCAAGGGAAAAAAGTATTAAGCTAAACTTCACAATTTAACCGTTTGAGTTCCAATATAAAGAGCAAATGACATGAACATTTTAGCCTGTGGTCTTGAAAATGGTTTGTAAGCTTCCTCCATAGCAAAACAAAGAAGAACTAAGAACCAAGGCGTTATATTCAATATGGGAGACATCCCCCCGCCCCCGCCTCCTTAAATGCATGAAGCAGCAAATCTTAAATCTGCCCATTCCACCCAGAAATGCATTCACTCCCAGAAACTGCCAGTGGCACACTCTCCCTAGTTTGAATTTCTTTTCCTCACAGCCAGGATGGCACACAAGGGCTGGGGGACACGCCAGACAGCTGCAGAGCCCACGGCATTGGTTCTTGGGACACCTCAGACCATTGCAGCATAAATTCTGCCCAGGTCTGGACTGAGCAGAGCTGAACTCAGTATTCACAGGCTTCTATTATTTTCCACTTTCTATAAAAGGGAGCTATAATCCGCCTTATGCGCAAGGTTATACATAGTGCTTTAGGCTTTGCTAGCAAAGGGCCCTGCCAGAGTAGTTTTGCTAGCTGACAGCCAGGCCAAGAAATCATCTTGTGGTTTTTTAAAAATAGCCTGCTTCTTCAACGCCCTTTTCCCCCCACAGTGGTTCTGCAGTTCAAGTTGGGCCACTCCTCATACCTACAAAAACCTGTTGCTTCCATAGGGTTTATCTGAGCATAAGCTCAGAGATAAGGGCCAGGTAAAAGGCTTGCACAGCAGAAGTGAAGAGAGGATGGCAGAACAGTTGCAGCTAAACATACAGTCTTCACCTTCCCCGGTTTTGTGCTGCACACTTCTACCTTAGTCTTCTCTTGACATGCAGAAGTGCACCCCAACAAAGTATGGACCACAGACAAAAATTTCCAATCACAGGTTTTAAACCTGAACCATAGGATGTCAGGAGAAAAATCTTCATGAGGTGACAGTCTACCCCAATAACACAGTAAGTGTTGCAACAAGACATCTTCAGAAATCCAGAACTACCTAGACAGCAAGTTAGAGGTATCTTGGGTCTGAAGCACCTTGCCCTTTCCATGTTCTGAGGATTTTGTGCTTCTAAGCTGGAGGTCAAAAAAGTAGCTTCTATTCTGCCAGAGAGATGACCCTGACTCTTAACAGATATAAACATTAGTGAATATACAGGGGGAAAAAAAGTCCTTACTGAATCCTTGTCATAAGGAACATAAGACATACTTACACTGTCTGTTCTAAGGCATTGCTTTTAAAAACCTGGCTTTTAGTCATTTAAAGTTTTGCACCTTTAGAGTTTAAACTGGAGTTCTCTGTTTTGGGTTAATATGGGAGGGGCTGGGGGAGGAAGTTACCCTGATGCCAGGGTGATCAGCAGTGAATGGAAGGTCAAACACCAAATGCTGGTTCCATTAAAATATATGTTTCAAATGCACTTCACTAAATTTTGAGTCAATGAATTAAAGTTAGATGTAATGCTAAACACAATTTGTAGTACTCTATTTTGTAGTGTGAAGTTCTGCAGTGATTGTAGTTTGGTTTCCTCTTTTTGTTCCCTCCAATAACTCACTAATGTTTTTGTTGTTGTTTTCTGGGGGTTTGGGTTTTTGTGGGGTTCTTTTATTTTGTTGGTTGTTGGTTTTTTTTGGAAAAGTACTTCTCACTGCACAGCTAACTCACTGAAGCGAGAAACAGTACCAACAATAACACAGAAAGAATGGACATCATTTAGCCAGTTCTGCCTACTTGAGTTAAAGCTCAACCACTCTGCTATCAAGGCTAGCAGGTGACATGGGGAGAAGTGCAAAGGAATTGCTGTAACACTTCATAAACAGCTCAATACACGTAACTGAAGTCTGCACAGATCAATTCTTAGTTTTCAGGGTTCCAGCTGGAATAGCTAGAAGCTAGTTTGTTTTTTTGTTTTGTTTTTGTTTTTGTTTTTTGTTTTTTTTTTTTAATTCCAGAACAGTAAGTTAATTTCTTCTGTGGAAATCTATGCCTTGCTTCAGTTTTTAAGAGCAAGCTGCTTAAGAAAATAACAACAGTCTTACAAACCGCTCTCTGTTTCTTTTAGTTGTCTTTATCTGACCTTTGCAGGTCCATCTCCAAACAGTCATGTATATTGTTAATGCAGTAGCAGGAAGAACAACAGTAAGGGAGCACAGTCTTGGTTACTCATGCCCTCTGCTTCCCTGGAAACCCCCAAAGGCAGGCTGTCTCTGCTCTGCCCTGCTGTACAGGTGCTTCTTACAAGGCACGTTGCTACAGTTATTGCATGGAGATCACAAACTCTTCCAGTTTTCCAGTAGTTTGGCAAAGTTGGACACCTGTGGCACGTGGCTACCCCCAGCCCAGCTTCTGAATGAAAGCAGCTGTGTCTACACCTTTCTCAGCCATCTGAAGAGTTTTATGCACAGGGACAACATTTCAACTTTAGAATGTAAGAAATAAGTAAGAGCCAAGCTGTATTTCAAAGCAAGAGGTGCATTTTTTACATGCTGCCTACACTCTCTAGGTATTTTAGATCCCTTATGACACTTAGTCACCCAACACTGCTAAGAAGGCAGGTTTCACTGGAACATAACACATCTGCAAGATTTTTGCTTTTTTCTTTTACTGTGATGGAATTTAGAGATCTTAGTTCAGACCAGAGCCCTTTGATTAGGAGGTGGAGAGAAAATAGAAAGGTAGGTTTAGAATCCAGTCTTAAGAAAATACTATAGTCTGAAATGTACTCCAAGTTTAAACACCAAGAACCCATACCAACCCTTCACTGACCTGGTCAAACAGCTGCTTGCCTGTAGTGTTTGGCTGGATGGCAAACTCCAGCTCTGCATCCATAGTAACAACTCGAACATTGATCTAAGGAGAAAAACAAAAAGCATTGTTTAAGATGTATTTAAAGCTATTTCTCAGTGTTAACACAGTACTTGGTGTACAGTACAGTTTCCATGCTTTGATGTACTACTGTAACCTCTAATATACACACTGAAGCATCAATTAGATTTGTGTTATCACAGCAGCAAACTTAATCGGGGCACTGATTTTTCTGTCTTATCCAGATTGCTCTGCAGGTTTTCCTACTCAACACAGGATTGAACTGAGCTTCTGGTTAAATAAGAGGGCATTTTAGAGTTGACCATTTTCAAGCCTAAACCCCTTTGGAATAAGAGCTCTTGTGAGCACACAGCATAGCTGCCTGGAGGCCATCCCTTGGATTATGAAAGGCTCTAATGACTAAATTAAATTTAAGACTTATAATTTAACTTCCATTTATATTAAAGCTGGAATTAATCCGAGGTTTTAAAAGCAAAAGGTTGCAGATTATTCTTACAAAGCAATCAGCATTAACCTGATAAACATTCATTCATTCCCTCATAAATATCTATTCAGCACATAAAAACAGCAGTTACAGGTAGTGGATGATACTACAGGGCAAGAGTTCACTAAGCTATTGCTGTAAGTGAACAAACAACATAACCAGATTTACTGCAATGGCAGAAGTAGACTGCAAGACAGAGGTTGCTGTTGTATACAGAAGGCAAGAGTGTTTAATTAGAAAATGTCTATTAGCAGTTAATCAGGAGGTAAAAGCAGCAACTAAGCTTGCAGGAAATAGAATAAGGACCAGCAAAATGGCAAATCAGGAAAGAATTACCTCCAACTGTTCCAACTGCAGGAGACTATATTGCTTGCAATATTATACTGTGTCTAAAAAAACACACCTAACAACCCAAAAACAAATTAAAAAAAAAAAAAACAAACACCAAACTGGAATGATCATGCAATATAGTTCTAACAAGATAGATTTGTAGCTTGGTATTTTAAAGGAAAGAGGAAAAAAACAGTGGATATGTAAATACACGGCCAAACAGGTAAGCTACAGGCAGATAAGATTTCATGACAATTTCCCAACATTTTATAAATGTCACATTACAGAAAGCCAGAGCTAAGAGACCAGGAGAGCCTGCTACAGCTGCAGCACTGGCACCCAGTGCAGAGGCACACATTTGAAGAAACTAGAGGAAGGGGCAGAAGAGGAATAGAATCACTCACTACAAAGCCTTGGCACTGTAGCATTTTCCAGCCACTTATTATGTGTATTTAAACTCTAGGATAAACGTCAGATAAAACAATGTTACAGGTAACACAGAACTGTGAATAAAACAAATTGCTTTGTCTAGTTTTAGTCAAATATACTAGAAAATGTTGCATTCCTTTTTTAGTAAGACACGAAGGAATCAAGTGATTTGAGTTGTTTCTTTCTTCTGCTCTCTCCCAGATGACAGAGGACCCTCCCATAGAAAGATGACTGAAGGCAGTTTCCAAGTCATGGAACCCCAGCACTGAACTAGAGCAGATGACTGCTTAGATGCCCTGTCACTTTCTAGCTGTATTTTTAAATTAGTGTCCTGTAAATTTTGATTTAAAAAATCCTCTAAAAGAAACAAGAAAAAAAAAAAAAGCAAGAAAGGTTTTCTAAGAGCTCCTTTTCCCAACTGTAGCATTTGGGATACATAATGCAGCATGGAAGTATGCTTAAGGCTTTCTTCCTGTGTCTTAAGAACCAAAGGTTTCCCAAACATTGTTTCCAGTGTAGGAAGGGAAGTTCAGATACCAAATCCTCAGGAACAGCAAGGCTGCAATTCGAAGACATGACCTTAAAAAGCTCCTGTTGCTTAATCCTGCTCAACAATAAATCCCTAATCATATTCTAATCCTTTTCTACCCCCTTCAAGAAAACATATGCTCATAATCCGCAGTTTTGTATCATGCAAGTTATTTGTACTTCTGTCTGAAACATCACAGCAGGTGTAAAATAAGTATAATTTTACAAGTTAAAGAACTTGAAAGGATGTGCTTCCCACTCCTTACCACAAAACCTGCAGGGTGTTGGCTGGGCATAGAATTCCAGCTGGTATCAGTACGTTCATCTTTTACTCTGTCTCCTTAGTGGTTATTTGCTAGTAAAAAAAGGTAAACTCCCTAGCCTAGGGGAATACCCTGTATTACTGCAACCCTAAAAGACCCTTCTGGATACAGTCCCCTTCCAAAAGGATCAGCTACATAGTGAGCTATTTAGTGTTAAAGCCACCTACCTGCTACATCTTTTAAGAATTATTTTAGTATTAAGACCAGAAATTGAAGTAATCTGCTTTCCACTTCAGTCATTTAAAGCCATAAGCATGAAGAAACACGACTACTTGGTATCCAAAAAGCTTTCAAGGACACTTGGGGCATGTGGTAAATGTTAATTTCTGTGTCCTTTAAGGGCTGAACAACCAGCAGAATAAAGAGGAATCCCCTGGTGTGCCCTCAGACAAGCTGCTAGCCACATGACAGGCAGAGCAAGAAGCAACAGGGCCCCAAGCAGTTGTCACTTCAGTGACTTGACGACTGCCTGGGCAAATCCTTTGAGTCTCCTTCCTGCCATATGAAGTCCTCTTGCTTCTCATCTCCAATACTTAGCCTTGATTTAAAGAGGAACATAATGGTTTTAACAGTGTTTCTAAACAGATGTCCTATAGCCGCTCCACACAAGCTTTTAGCCACAGAGAGGCTGGTAGTGAAGCAGGAAAATGGCGCTTAATCTGCTTGAAACCCTGGTTTAGACAGTCTGAAGAAACCTTGATGTCTGTGAGGCTGAGATGATCAGTTTGGCATTCAGCTGACCACATGAAACTTCCCATGGCACCAAGATGATTAAATCAAACCCACAGTGCTAACCAAGGTATTGTTGAAGAGGAAAACAAGGAACAACCCAGACTAATTCCTATCAGCAACAAAAAGAAGACGACGTGGTTAAGACAACTTTTGCAAGCAAAGTCCTGCTTACCCTGCATAGGCAAGGCAGGTAATTTGTAAAAACCCTACCAAATCCTGGCAGTATCTCAGGACAAAGTTGAAGCCATAACCAAATAGAAAGCAGTTTTTAATTGTTTCAGAACACAGGTGCGTGGAGGGGGGAGAAGAGCACATGGCTGTTTTACATGACATAAGGGTTTTTAAATGTACATAGCATGTTAAAACTCCTAGACAGTAAGATGTAACTTCCTTCCCAGTAGACCAATGCCATAATGCTTTATGATTATACTTTTATGTTTGAGATTAACATACTTAAAATGAATGACAAATAGGGCCTTAGAAGGTTTGCTTGTGTGTATTAAAACATTAGAGCACAAGGTTTCCTCTTCCCCTGACTTAGGATGCATAAAATCGCTACCAAATTTGATCCAGAAGGGGAAAATCCCATGCTATTGGAAAGGCAATTCCATTTGCATTAAAAGAATAAGCTCTATGAATTTTAAGAGACAACAGAAACTGAAGCACTTACTACACCAAATGACTGAACACTAATTCCATGACTTCAGACTGTTCAGGGGGGACTGCAACATGTTAACTGGGACAAGAGAGTAGAAGTAAGGACACTACCAGTGCACAGGTAGGGTTTTTTTTCTAAAGTCTGACTCTTGAGCTACAGCCTGTTGGTCCAGAATCTGTCTCTGGTTGCAGGCAACATGGTATCTTTGAAGCTAACCATCCCCCTCCTGATATTGCAGCTCCACTGCAAAACATCCTACACCAAAGGAAAAAAGGAAGGCAGAACAGGAAAAAAACCCACAGCCCTCATGAAGTAAGACATCATGGATATTTTGCATCCTCATGAATGAAAAGTAATGCCCCTTAAGTTCACTTGCATAATAAAATAGTTCAGTGGAACCATGAAGTTGTGCAAGTCATTTAAAATACCATACAATTTATTTCCAGTGAATACATAAGATAAAGGGCAGTAAATACCAACTTTTACCCATATACATAAGACAAACCAGTACTTAACGTGTTTCATATAATTATCATTACACAGCTCTAAATGCCTCAGACAGTGGTCAGGAATGTTTCCTCCCTCTTTCCAAGGAGGGTTAAAGACCAGAGCCTCCTAAATAGCAGGTTTACAAGTACAAATAGTAGTGAAGAATCTTTCCAAGTGGTGGCAATTAGCAGTATCATAGTGGAGAAACCTAGACAGGCATGCCTTCTTTCTTCAGTCACTGGATGTCTGGAAATCCCAGGCAAGTAGCTAGGACACATAAGCAGATCAATCCCGTTCTGAAGTGCTGTACCTGCACAGCACATACTGTGAAAGAACAGCATGCAGGCCTGTTAAGGTTTCTTTTCTTGCACATATGCAAGCCAACTGTATAGCACATGGACGTGCTTGTGCTGAAGGAATACGGGTGTCTTAAATAAGAGAAAGCAGTGGTATTGAGAATACTATTAAGAAAAAAGTAGTATTACACTTGCATCCTCACTTCTGCAGGTCACCACATGAGCAATAACTACTACTGTATTTGTAATAACTAACAGACAAGATTTTTGCCCTGCAGTGCAATGCACCTGCATGAACGAAGTAATCTCATTTCAACCTTAGTGACCAGACCTGTTCATAAATGGGTGTAGTGAGATTAGGTACCTGGTAATACAAAAAACAATTTCACATAGCAGCATCAGAAGGGCACTGAAACTGCTCTCTATTCTTCCACCTTACATGCACTAGTGTTTGTTGGTTCCAGATCCAACAATAAAGAAAGATATTGTGCTAACGGATGGAGTAACAGTAATATCAGCTCCCGGAAACTTTTCGGGGAAAAATTTTGACTTTGATTAGGGGAAAAAAAGAATCCTAGAGGCTCCAGAGCTCAGAACTGACCTGCTAACACTTCAGTGTCTGCATTCCTCTGTTCTCCACAAGTTACTTAAGTCAACAGCTAATGGTTCCAAGACTGTCGAGAGGAGAGAACAATTCTGGGAGGGTAAGTAGAACAAATAATCCAAGCAACTGGACAGATATTAGTTCAATATAA